GTTTTATTTTATTTATTTATTTATTTATTTATTTTTTAAAGATTTTATTTATTTATTTGACAGACAGAGATCACAAGTAGGCAGAGAGGCAGACAGAGAGAGAGGAAAGCAGGCTCCCCGTTGAGCAGAGAGCCCCATGCGGGGCTGGATCCCAGGACCCTGGGATCATGACCTGAGCCAAAGGCAAAGGCTTTAACCCACTGAGCCACCCAGGCGCCCCTTTATTTATTTTTTAAAAAGATTTTATTTATTTATTTGACAGAGAGGGAGAGTTAGAGAGAGAACACAAGCAAGGGGAGTGGGAGAGGGAGAAGCAGGCTCCTTGCAGAGCAGGGAGCCCAATGCAGGGCTCCATCCCAGGATCTGGGATCATGACCTGAGCTGAAGGCAGACACTTAATGACTGAGCCACCCAGGCGACCCATGGAATGCCTGTTTTTATTGACTGTTGTTTCTCCCCAGTGTTCAGCTCGACGACTTATTGTGTATGATAGGTGATCAAGAAATATTTATGGATTTTTTTCACATGAAGGAAATATTACTATTTGCACCTTTTACTATTTTATAACCTGATTTTTTAAAAGATTTTATTATTTATCTGAGAGAGTGAGAGAGAGCAGAGTGCGTGGATAAGCAGGGGGAGGGGCAGAGGGAGAGAGAGAGAAGCAGACTCCCCACTGAGCAGGGAGCCCAATGGGGTGGCTGGATCCTAGGATACTGGGATCAGGAGGTGAGCTGAAGGCACACGCTTAACCAACTGAGCCACCCAGGTGCCCCTGTAATCTAATTTTAAAAAAAAAGAAAGAAAGAAAAGAAAACAATAGGGGTGCCTAGCTGGCTCAATCCATAGAGCATATGACTGGGTCTTGAAATCGTGAGTTCTGGCCCCACTTTGTGGGGGTAGATTGTACTTATTAAAAAAAAAAAGTCTTAAAAAATCTTAACAATTTATCCTGGACACCTTTTTGTACCAAAATAGAAAGATCTAGCTTCTTTTTGATGACTACCTAGAATTCATTTGCATAGAGATGCCAGCACTTATTTCGTCTCTGACGGTGTCCATTTAGGCTGTAGCCAATTTTGCAGTTAACACATATTTTTACATACTTGTTTTATAATTTCCTCGGGATAAGTTTCTAGACTGCATGGAAAAGAATGAATATAGATTTTTGAAATGTGAGTTTAAGATCTAAGACCTAGTCCAATCCCTTTTGACACAGCTAAGCTATTTAAACTGACTCTTGACTCCAGGTCTCCTAACTCTTAGACAACTTTATTGTTTTATCTTTCCTGCATAGAATTGCAATCCCCTTCGAGTTAATCCTGTATGGTGTGAGGTAAGAGTCAAATTTCATGCTATAATTAACATTTTACTATGTGGTATGGAATGCAGCTAAATATTATAAAATACAGAGAACAGCTCCCCATCCTAAAGAATTTCTCCACTGTTTTCCTCTAAAAGTTTTAGAGATTTTGTTCTTACTTTTAGGTTCATGGTCCATTTCGAGTAAATTATTGTATATAATGTGTGTATATAATGTGATGTGTATATATAATGAACAACATCAAGATTCATTTGTTTTTGGCATGTAAATATCCAATTAATATAGTAACTTTTGTTGAAAAGGCTATACTTTCCCCATTGAATGGGGTTGTCATCGTTATTGAAAATTGACTATGTATGTGAGGATCTATTTCTGGGTTCTCTGTTCTGTTCCATTACTCTTTATGTCTGTCTTTACACCAATGTGACACTGTCTTGATTACTTAGGTTTATAATAATGGTACAATTGTATAATAATTGTTAAAAATTAAGTAATGTAAATTGGTTCATTTTTCCCAAAATTGTTTTGGCTATTCTAGATCCTTTGCATTTCCATTTAAACTTGAGATCCCCTAGCTAATTCTGATATTTGATTGGGATTGCATTGAATCTATCATTTAATTCAGACAGTGAGGAGACTATCTTAGTTGATGCTATTAAAAGTTGGAATTGGGGGCTCTTGGGTGGCTCAGTCAGTTGAGCGACCACCTCTTAGTTGCAGCTCACATCATGATATCACAGTCCTGGCATCGAGCCCTGTGATGGGTTCTGTGCTCAGCGTGAAGTCAGCTTGGGATTCTTACTCTCCCTCTGTTCCTTCTCTCTATCTCTCTCTCACACAAATAAATAAAGCCCTTAAAAATTAAAAAAAAAAAAGCTGGAACCATATATTATTAATGAATAATTCTTCTGATTCTGGACTCATTAAACAATTAGATGGGTAGTTTGTGTCCTGGGAGAGAATGCAGTGATTATAGGATGTGAGTTGTTGGTCCTTTCTGAAGATAATTTTCCCTATAAAATAATATTCCAGCATTGTAGTTGTAGCATCATTTCTTTGTGAGCTTGATTAATGAGTTTGCCCAGAGCAATAGTGTCACTTACCTATGCTCTGATAAATCATGTTTTGTGTTTGCAAAAATGAAATTGTATCCTGGGTGGTAGTGATTTCTCTAATGTATTGCAGCCTTGGGGCAAGCATGCCTGTTCAGGTCACATGCCTCTGCCTCCTGGTAGCTATCTTTGAAGAATGAAGACTTCTAGAATTCACTGAGGACATCACATCATAAGCACTGTTCATTTGTTACAATGCTATGACTCCAGAGTCCTTGCTTTGATCACTATGCTGTGATGCCTTTGATAAGTTATTTGGAAAGCAGGATTGGCTATTTGCAGACTCTGCCACTTCTGATGCACAATACTTTCAAGGTGCTCGGAGTTCAGTCAGTACATTGATATTTCTGTAAGGCTTTGCAGTTTTTATATGCTTTTATATATGATTCAGTTAATTCTCTTTCATATATGAAATGTGCTCTCCTGCTCTGCCCCATCAGAATTCATTGCTTATAATTTTTTCCTGACCTCCTGTTGGGCAGGGATAAGTAGTTTTGAAAACTGGAGGTAGAAGTGAGAGATGTAATCTCCATTTTCAATGTGGGCAATTGCTGGTGTCTATTTTTGCTACAACTGGTTTAGAGAGACAGTCCTGAACTTCTCTGCTTGACATAGTGAAGAGACTATTACATTCCTTAAGGGCATTATGTGTCACTCCTAAAATTTAGTGCATCTTTAAGTATCTTCTGAATTAAATGGGGGAGAAGAGAAGGAAGACCGTGGTATTAGGATATATGTATAAGGAATCTTGCTAGCCACCAGAAAGTGAGAAGAATTAAATTCTCAGTTAAATGTCTGAGGGGGAAAAAAAAAGAGTCTGAGATTTAGAATGAAGGAAATTAGGGCTTCAGTCCTAGGATAGATGAAGATAGTAGCTGGGCTGTTGGTGGATTACCAGTGCTGCACAAGATGTCTGTGCCTACTGCTCCTCAGGTGTATTCAAAGTTTCATTTGTTCCTTCCTTCATGTAAGTGCACGTGAGCCTGGTAGACTGCTGGGAATCGTGGAGCCATACAAGGATGAACAGAAAATGTAATGTTTACAAACAGAGGCATCATTCCTGTATATCCAGTGCTTACTATACTTTCTTGTAGATGTTTGAAATGCCAGATTACTTGTTGAAATTATTTGAGCCATAAGGATGGAATAGATAAAGCTCAAGTTTGAATACAGAGATGGAAGTTTCACAGGTAGAGAGAATAGTAAAGGACAAAAGCACAGTGGGAAGAAAGCAGGCTTTGCATGGAGACAAAGTGACTTAGTGTGTCTGGCTGCAATTTAGAAACCCAGCAGCAGTTAGGAGGAATATTTTCAAAAGGTTTGTTGGGAATTGCTGAGAGGCCTAACTCAATTGATTCCAGAGTAGGGTGTGCGTATGGGTATGTATATATGTATTTTAAGATTTACTTATTTGGGGGGGGGGGGGGGGAGAGGGAGAGGGAGAGAGTCTCAGGCCAACTCCATGCTCAGTACAGAGCCAGACATAGGGCTCCATCCCACAACCCCAGATCCCAAAACCAAGAGTCCAAGGTTCAGTGGAGCCCCAGAGAGAGAGAGAGAGAGAGAGAGTGTGTGTGTATTTAAAAAAAAAAAAAACCATTTATTTATTTGAGAGAGAGAGAGAGAGAGAACTCATGAAGGGGGAGGGGCAGAGAGAGAGAATCCCAAGCAGACACCCCCCCCACCAGCGGGGAGCCCCACATGGGGCTCCATCTTGGGCTCAGAACATGAGGTGAAATCAAGGGTCGGATGCTCAACAGACTGAGCTACCCAGGTGCCCCAAGAGTGCATATATATTTTTAACCCACATCCAAATCATGCTGATAAGAGATGTATTTCCCTTTTACAGGGTAGGCCTAGTTACTGTGGATTAAGATGGGAGATGGCATGCTTAAGCATGGTGGGTGGGTGGGGAGTGAGTGGAAAGGCTATTGCAGGAAAATTGAAATAATGGAGAATGAAGGGAATTATCAAAACTGTCTTTATTCTTCAAAAGCAATATCCCTGGCAGGATATTGAGAAGGCAGTATCATCATTTCACATTTTTCATTAATTAGAAAACTCGAATTTGTAATTCAACAAAGCAGTGAACACAATCATCTCTCTCCCTCCACCAAGAAACCTTTGGCTACTCCAGGTAGCAGCTGTGTCACTATCACCTGGGGGCTGGTTAGAACCGGCGCTTCTCAGACCCTAGGCCAAAGTCGCCGAATCAGAATGTGCACTTAACGTGATGGCCAGGTGATTCCATGCACGAGAAAGCCCAAGAAGCCCCACTCTAAGCTAGGGTACTGTAGAACCAATATTTTGCTGAAAATCATTTTCTGGAGGCAGCCGCAATTCGCCGCGTCTTGCACCAGATGGCAGCAGCTCGCCCACTTCCTCCTAGCGGCACCCCACTGTGCCAGGCGAGGGCGAGCTCCGCGCGCCTCCGGAAGACCCAGACTGGCCTCCGCCGCAGCGGAGGCGGCGGCGGCGGGAGCGTGCTCCGGGGGGCGGGGCCCGGCCTGCCCAATGGGCTCTCCCGGGCAGGGGGCGGGGCGCTATTTCAGCCGCTCCCGCGGGGCGCGGGCGCGCCGCGCGTCCGGGGTCAGTATGTGGCGCGTTCCTCGCCAGCTGTGCGTGCACTTTGCGAGGGGAAGCAGGCTCTCTGGTCCTTGGAATAGGCCTGCCGCCTTCATGTCTACTTTGCTCATCAATCAGGCGCAGTACGCTTGGCTGAAGGAGCTTGGGCTCCGCGAGGAAAACGAGGGCGTATACAATGGAAGCTGGGGAGGCCGGGGAGAGGTATGCGGGTGTGCAGGAAATCTGAGCGGCCTCAGTGCGGTCCCTGCCCAACCGGATCCCCCGCCGCCCTTTCCACTACCCGCCCCCCACCGCTGCCGCTGTGGACGGTTGTACTGGGGGGCAAGTTTGGAAGCGACAGAGTAAACGTGTGCTTGTGTAGGGTGCCTTAAAAATGCGTTTGGATTATTAGGTCTTTGTGTGCTTTGGAGAAATCAGCGTCATTTTGGAGCTGGTAGAGCTTGAACTTCCACGCATGCTTACAACCTTATGGCAGAGTTCTCGATGTGTAGAGACAGGCCACACGCTTAGTATTGGGAAATTATCTCAGTTTGTGCTTGACTCTGGCTCCACGGGTCTGCCTGTGTTCTGCCTTAGTTTTATACTGTCTTTTCTGAAATCCTTTGTTGGAGTTTGCAAGTCCGGATTTGCTGGAATCCTGTTAAAATTGCTGGGCGCTGAGTTTCCTGGAGGACAGGATTTTAAGCATTTCTTTATTTCCAGAGCCAGGCACCAAAACTGGCACTCAGTGAAAGCTCAATTAAGTTGTTTTACAGAATACCATGGAAAGGTAAGGTTATTACCGCTCAGATTTTTTTGAAAGTTGCTTACAAAAGAAAGCTTTTATAAGATGTTACCAAAAAACCCAAAAAGGAAATGTTACATAACATGCCACAAAGTTTGTCGAGTGTGATATAATGAACTTGCTTTGATAGAGGCAACAGTTCTCATGGTTACCTGTGACTGTAGGAGATTCGGGTGCTTTTAATTATCCTCTGAATCCTATTCTGTTTTCACTTTGATCCTGTTTTTCCTGTGGCATGTTACTAGGTTCCTGGATAAATTACTCTCCTGAAAATCTTTTCGATATGCCTTGATTTTTTTTTTTTTTTCCTTACTAATCTCTGCTGTTTGTGTGGAGATAGTTGTCCACTGTTGGTTTTTTGACCTTCTGACTAGGGCAGAGTAAGAGAAGAGTAAGTAAATCTCGTCAGATTGGTCTGTTACTTGTGGAAAAAGAGGTGAAGTAACGGGTTACGTTAGACTGTTGCTTTTACACCGAGTGTTTAGATGGCAAGGCTGAGTTTTGCAAAATGATTCTGCATGTTTAGGTCAAAAATGAAAAAGAGCTCTGTTAAGTGACCTATTTGTAGTAAAAGTTAATGTAAAACTTCCAAGTTTGGATATGGTATCTAAGTTCAGTTTCTTCTTTCCCTTACAACCCCCATTTGGTATGTTCCCCCATTTTGGAAGGGATTACATTTTCTATAGATAGCATTCATTTTTTTGTTTGCTTTAAGGTTATCACCACCTATTGTCCTGCTAACAATGAACCAATAGCAAGAGTCCGACAGGTACGTTTTTTGGTTTTGCTTTTATTAATACGAACTGCCCATGGGGTTTGTGCCAGTGACGAAGAGCAGTATGGAGTCTCACAGTCCAAGAATAAAGTGTTTCTTTTTCATAGGACGTTGAAAAATGTCTGGGAGAGACTGCCCACTCTTTGGGTTGGGGTGTCCTAGGAAAGGTGAAACAGAAAAGTTGTGGGGGGGGTTCCATTTAAGGCCAGGTTTCTGAATCCCCACATTTCTGAATCACCTGTTCTTGTGAAGTCTATGTTGGAGCCCATGGTTCTGAATTTCTGACATCTCATGGGTTGTCCCCAGATGAGGCTAATGGACCTTGCCTCTAGAAGCAATGTTTTAAAAAGTATAGCTAGATTCTAAGCTGTCTTACTGGGTTATCACAAGTGTTGGGAAGCACAGGCTGTGAAATTCATTTTAAGCTACAGATCTGAGGGTCACCTAGAGATACTCCAGTTCTTCTCCAGAAATCTTGGGTGTTCTCAGAAGGGGGATCATCACTTCCCTTTGTTTTTCTCTTTGTCTCCCCCTAATTGGTAATTTAGGCTAGCGTGGCCGACTACGAAGAAACGGTGAAGAAAGCGAGGGAAGCATGGAGAGTCTGGGCAGAGGTGAGTGTGAAGGTCATAGCACGATGACCTCTGGTGACTGCAGGGAGATAAGAGAAAAATCTTCCAAGCAGTCGGTGCTCCCTGCAGTGGGAGTTGCTCTGGGGCTGTGATAATCTCCCTCTGCTGTAGTCCCAGGATAGTGCCTTTTCTATATCTGGCTTCAGTAAATGGTGATTTTAAGTGGATTTAAAGTCTGTACTGAAGTAGCATATACCTCAGCTGTGAACACTATTTCCAATTGAAGTTTCTCAAGTTTCTCACTGGACAAAAAGAAAGGACCGTCTATGTTACAAACACCCTTTTTCCTGCTTCTCCCCACTCCTTCCAGCCAGCTTCATGCAGGGGTGGGGGCTGGGGTGTGGGAGGGAGCATCTCTGCGGTTGGTTGATAGTCCCAGTTCACAGGGCAGGGCCTTGAGTTCCTGCAGTCTGGTCAAGCCGGTGGTTCCTCCTCCATCTATCTGTGATGTAGGAAAGAACGTTAGGGTTTGAAGCTGACAGCCAAGAAAGAATTCTTGAGACGTCTTTGGTGCAAAAAGGTTGTTTTGTTAAAGCATGGGGACGGGACTGGTGGGCAGAAAGCTGCACTGGGGTCATGAGTACTTTCAAGGTGGGAGGGGATTAGGGAGACCGTAAGTCTCTACGGAATTTTGGAAGCAAGGTTTCCAGGACCTTGAGGGGGCTAACTATTCTTAGCACAAAGTTATCTACGACCATCTAATAAAACCTTAGTCATGAGACCCTTCAGAGGTATATCGGTGGGCCATATATGTTTGGGGCATGGTTGCCAACACGTGTCTTGGAGGGTTTAGAGATAAAGGAAATTTCCAAAGGAATTTTTATATGTTAAGGTAGACTTTCTCCCTCCTCTCTCCGACTCTGAATATCCCATTTGCTGTCCCTCCGAAGATTATAGGCCTGAGGCTAAAGGAATGTCCTGGAAGGTTTAAGCCAGATCTACCGGGTAAAAGACTTTCTTTCTGTGCGCTTTGTCTTGTAAATAGAGGAGACTGGGTCGGCCTGCCTCCTGGGGTTATGGTAAGGGTTAAATGAGTTAATCATTGGAATTGCTTGTTGCAGGGCCCTGCCTTCGCAGACGCCTGCCTGAGCTACAAACACCACGTGCTGCTGGGTTTGGGATTGCTGAGCCACTGTTTTCTCTGAATCCAATGTTGCTAGGGTGACTTGGGGAAGGGGCAGGTTTTCCCAGAGAGCCCTGAGTTGGATGCCCCTTAGTTGTCAGGCAGGAGGTCGCCTCAGTGCAAAGCAGGAAGAACATATTTCCTGTACTTGAACCAAATCTGGCTGTAAATTGGCTCAGGGTTCCATTATGCTCAATGAAAAATGTCCTTGAGCAGTAAAAGGCCACTTCCAAAAGTGAAAGGTGTGCGAAGTTCACCTTGCATAGAGAAAGATATCTGGAGCAATGTCGTTAATTGTTGGCAAAATAATTTTGTTTTCTTTTTGATGTAAAAGTAATACATATTTGAGGTACCTGGGTGGCTCAGTCTGTAAAGTTCACCTCAGGTGACCTTCACCTCAGGTCATGATGGGGGAGGGCGGGGGGGCGGTTGGTGTCTCCCTGCTCTTTGGGGAGTCTGCTTCTCACTCTGTTTCCCCCCACACACACCCTCATGCACTCTGTATCAAATAAATAAATACAATCTTAAAAAAAGTAATACATCTTTACTAAAAATTGGATGAGGCACTAAGATAATGACATTGAATCCTCTTACCTCGTCCTCTTCTATACAGAATAGTTATTAGAATTAGATTTTGTGCATTTCCTTCATCTTTGTGTTTCATAGTTGTAATTATTAAACAAGGCGTGTGTAAAATTTTTGACTTACGGTGGCACTGCATACCAGCCTAAGTTTACTGAGTAATTTAAAAAAAACATTGGTTTCCTATATATAAGCTATTTACAGAAAAATTAATCAGACTTGTGTGTGTGGGGGGGAGCAATTTTAGGTTTATAGTATGAGAAGAAAGAATTTTTTTAAAGATTTTATTTATTTATTTGACAGAGAGCCATCACAAGTAGGCAGGGAAACAGGTGGGGGGTGATGTTGGGGGGGTCCGGGTAGCAGGCTTCCTGCTGAGCAGAGAGCCTGATATGGGCCTTGATCTCAGGACCCTGAGATCATGACCTGAGCCAAAGGCAGAGGCTTAACCCACTGAGCCACCCAGGCGCCCAAGAAAGAAGAATCTTGCTTTTCACTTCTGTGTACTGTGTCTGGTCCAATAATTGGCATAAAACAGATCACAGGAGAAAAACATTTTAATTTCTGGTGTGGAGCGGGGAAGGGTGGCAGTGAGGAAAGATCCAAGACCCAGGGGCAGCCAGACACCTAGGCTTCTGTGAATCCAGAGCTCTGGGGCTCTTTGTGGGGGAAGGCAATTCACAGGAAGGTGAGAGGAGTAAATGTTTGGTACACAAATGTTTTCCCTGCCATGGAGCTCGCTATCTCCTTATCAAAGTGATCTCTGGTAATAACTTGCTCCTTGGCAGAGATCCCCTTTGTAAGTTCTTTCAGAAACTTAAGGGGGAAGAAAAAGGCTTTTCCCGAGTCTGGTGGGCCTTGGTTGGCTTCAGCTCAAAATAATCCTTGTGCCAAAGTGGCACGTCCTGGCTCAGTCTGAGCCCTGTCACCAGAGCGATGAGCAGTAAAAGGGGGTGGGGGGGCCCCTCTACCTCCTTAGCGTACTTGGCATGTTTCCCTCTTACCACCATCTTATATTAGTGCCATGCATTTGTTACAGTGGGAGAACCAATGTTGGTCAATTATTATTAACTAAAGTCCATAATTTGCGTTCGGATTCTAAATGTTTGGAATGCCAGGGAAACCTATGATCAGAAACCTCTCTTACATGTGTGTGTATTTACCCAGGCATGTGTGATTCACGATCTTGCCTTTTCCGAAGTGGCTTTTAAGTTAGTCTTGGCTCTGCCCTAGAGCTGGCAGCTGACACTGTGTTGCCTTTCCTTAATAGGATGCTGTACTTTTCTGTTATGCTCTTTTCCTGTTGAGGCTTGCATTTGGCAGTCTGCTCTGCCTGAACAGTGCCCACCTCTGGACACCTACCATGCTTTCTCCTACTTCCTGGACTCTTTAGATCTCCTAGTAGAATGAGGTTGCTGAGTGGGAATGGCTTGTGCAGGGTGATGGTGGAGTCAGTAGGGGATCCCACTTGTTAGAATTTGAGCTAAACGATTGAGTTCAAAGTTGAGGGAAGTGGCATAGCCTTTCCTAACTGCCTCTGGGGCTCCTGCCAATGGGGTAGTTACTTAGAGGCTGCTGGTGCCTCAGCCAAGAACAGAGCAAAGCTCATTCCCTCCTGGTCTATCCACTTAACCCTCCAGGCTCCTTTCTGGCGTGGGGCTGCTTCTGCTTTGCTGTGATGGTTTCGGCTGGCCCTGTGTTTCAGTGAGTTCATTGGTGTTAGGCCTGCAGTTTTTCAGTGGGAATGGTTTCCTTGAAGGCAAAAATAAAAAAATAGAGGAGGATCGTTTATATACATGATTTCTTCTAACTACACCTGAGCACAGAGAACCTGGTCAGGAGTGCTGGCTCTGCTGCTCTCATGAACTGGTTTCAGCCCAGAATGGCCACTGTTAGGCCCCTCTGCATCCCCAGTATGTCCTTTCCCCCTCCCACCTCTGGTGAGGAAGAGCCCGAGAGAGGACAGGCACCTGGTAATGAGCTATCTGTAAGGGCATAAAGGAATACCATTTACGTGGAGGCTCTTTTATTACAGTGTGCGGGGATGAGGGGTCTTGTTGCCCATCTCAGGAGGGCATGAGGTTTTGAATGGCCTGTCGTGCTGGGGCCGATAAAGCTCACCTGGGAGATGGGGCTGTCTTGTTGCGTCCTCTGCCCTCATTTCCCTGTCCCCAGACCTAATCCTGGCTTTCTCAGTTCATGCTACTCTGTCCTGTCATTTGTGAGGATGGAACAACAATGAAGAGGCCACATTTGAATGGTCTTGCATGGGATCTAGCCCCGAAGTTTTATGGGTGGTGATTCTGCTGTATACCCAGGGTTGAGAATCTGTTGGTTACTGTCAGTTACCAAGTCTTGAATATTTAAAATTTTTTTTTTTTTTAAGATTTTATTTATTTATTTGACAGAGAGAGATCACAAGTAGATGGAGAGGCAGGCAGAGAGAGAGAGAGAGAGGGAAACAGGCTCCCTGCTGAGCAGAGAGCCCGATGCGGGACTCGATCCCAGGACCCTGAGATCATGACCTGAGCCGAAGGCAGCGGCCCAACCCACTGAGCCACCCAGGTGCCCCAAGTCTTGAATATTTTAAATTACATTTATCTCTATTGCTATTTTTATAATTGAGACAAGTCACCATCTTTGTCCTGCCTACTGGTCTCCCAGTGTGAATCTCTGATCTATTTTCTAGACCATAACTGGGGTGATTTTTTGTTTGTTTGTTTAAATACGCTCTAAGTCCAATGTGGAACTCAAACTCATGACCCCATGATCAAGAGTTGTATGCTCTACAGACTGGGCCCACCAGGTGCTCCTGGAATGGTATTTTAAAAGGTGCTGTAATTTCCCCCTACCATTTAATACTCTCTGCTGATTTTCCCAGTATTTTTTGGAGCATCCTTTATAAGGTCATTTGCACTACGGCCCCTAATTTTCTCTCCTGGTTCCTTTAAACCTTCTAAATTTTCCGAAAATCCTCCATATCCTCTCTTGACTTTTGGCCTTTGCATATGCTTTGTTTCCTGTTGCCCATAATTTCCCTCTACTTTCTCTACCTCTTTAGCTGGCAAGCAGCAATCATGCTTGAGGTCTTAGATCTCTACCTTAAACTTCTTCGGAAAGCTGCCTTCTTCCCCGCTTGCTAACCGCAAGCAGCACTCAGTTAACACTGCTAGGTTCTCTCCTTGTACAGTCTGGCTTCTCCAGAACAGCACTCACCACATGAGATTGAAATCACCTGTTTGTTGTTTCCACCACCCCACTGGGGTTTTGGTTCTAGTGGGCTTGAATTGTAGCCGTCTTCCTGGTGTCCCTGGGGAAGATCAGAATATCTGGCACATAGAAAGTGTGTAATAATTACTGGTTAGAGACCAAATAATATATACACAGAATATAATGTAAATGTGTATTAGCCATTCTGGATTGATATTAACCAGTTCACTGAACTTAGGCTAAATTCATTTGAAACAATGAGCCCATCCCATGTTCTAGAAAGTATGTAGATCTGTGCTGATTCATGTAACATTGCAAATTTTGTTTATTGTTTTCCGAAGAGTTGCATGTATTGTAAAAATGGCAAATGCTGTAGACATAGAAAATGTGGGGAATGGAAGTCTGTTAGAATTGCATCTCCTCCCCCCCCCACCAAAAAAATCCTATTCCCCAGAAATTACCATTAACATCCTTTATATATTTCTTCAACTATAAGCAAAAGTTTAGTTATTGTGTGTATTATTTTGCTATTTTCTGTTATTCTGTTACAACTCTTGAAAGTTTTTCCTTATAAGTCTATCTTCCTATTTGGAGAGTGTGAAGTGTCCAATTTTATAGCTGTTCCGATGTTAACTAGTCATGTGTTGATGAACATTAGGGTGGTTGGTTTGTCTGTGCTAGAAGTGGCATTGTGGTTAAGTGTGGTACCTATCCCTCTGTACACTTACGTGTATGCTTGGTATCTGGGAATGGAATTACCTAGTCAAAGGGGAGGAATGGTTTAAATGTTAGTAGGATGCCAGGTTACCTTCCGGAAAAGCTCTCTCCTGACCCGGTGATCTCTCTGGGAAGAAGAGCACGAAGATGAACCCTGAGTTCTGGGTCAGGCTCTAGGAGGCGGCAACCTTTGAGCAGTGCTGTGGTAGCCCTCTAAGAGGGGGTGCGGGCAGGCCCCAGCCTGGGGGAAGCCATCCTTACAGTTGCCTCTGAAGGAGAGGCTGAGTTAATTGGGAAGAGCTGGAGGGGAGAGAAGAAAGGAGTGGTGATCACAGTTGAGGAAGTCATGTCTCCATAAGTGAAGCACATCACAAACTTCACGTGACCCAGCCTGTACTCTTTGTCTCCATAAACCCCTGACACTTCTGTCTTGTCTCAGGAATTGTACTTCCATCCACCCAGCTATTCAAGCCACAGACCTGGGCTCCATCCATGGTTCTTGCACTTCCCTCATTTCCCACACCTATTCCATTAGGGTGTCCTGTCTGTCCTGTTTCCAGATTAATCCTGAATCTGCTTTGTGTCCCTTGCTTTAGTTTTACAACTAAGTTACTATAATCTTTGGCCTAGGGCATTAGAGTATGTTCTTAATTGGCCTTCCTACTTCTCTTTCCCCTCCAATATATGCTCCACCTATACCACATTGAGTTTTAAAAGAGTCTGTTTATTTTATTTTTTTTGAGAGAGAGAGAGTGGGGAGAGGAACAGAGGAAATAGGACAGGTAGACTCTGTGCTGAGTGCAGAGCCTGGCACTGGGCTCATTCCCGTGACCTGAGCCAAAATCAAGAGTTGGACATGGACACTTGGATGGTTAATTGAGCCACCCAGGTGCCCTCTGCATGGTGGTCTTATAAAAGGCAAAGCAGGGGCACCTGGCTCGCTCAGTCAGTAGAGCATGCAACTCTTGATCTTGGGGTGTTGGGGTCTTGAGTGCAAGCCCCAGTTTGGGTATAAACCTTGCTTAATTAAAAAACAAATCTTTGGAGAAAAAAAAAAGTGAAGCAAATCATTTCCTTAAAAACCATTAAAGACTTCCCATTGCACTTATAGTAAGATTCAGTAAGATTATTAGTTCTGTGAATGCCTTGTTTATTTTTTGCCCCAGTGCCTGGAATGATGCCTGTCACGTAGTAAGTAGGTGCTCAGAAAATAGTGGATCATAATTTGAATGGGTTATGGAATACTGTTTTATTAGCTGAATCTAGGATTTGGGTATGCAGTCATTTTGACCCGTAAGAAGATGTCAGTGGGAATCACAAAGGTTTATTGGTATTCAAGGTATTTTAAGCTTTTTAAGAATCATTGTGTTCAGTCTTATAATTTATCTCTGTTCTTGGCACAGACCCTTACTCTCCAAAAATCTATCATCTGGTTGATGTTTTCTGGGACTCTGGTATCTGTGTTAGGGATGTGCCATAATACTGTTTGGATGTGATCAAAAAGTCATCTGATGGGTTTGTATTTAGTTCCCTTAGAGCATGTTTGTCTAATACTGTGTTACAGACACAAGTTTACACGTTGAATCAGATGCTAAGATTCTGTTCTCTTCTTAGGTTCCTGCTCCGAAGCGAGGAGAAATAGTAAGACAGATTGGGGATGCTTTGCGGGAGAAGATCCAAATACTAGGAAGTTTGGTAAAGTATTTTCATAGTAAATAGACATTCCTTTGAGTTGGGGATTACGGCTGTTGAGTGTTTTTGTTTAAGATTTTAGGATTGTGATGCTTAAGGAGAACAGTTCATACATATAAAAAAAGTCTTTAGAGGAAAGATGAACAAGATGAACAGGGAAGAGTAAAGAAAATTCATGGGTTTTTAAATTAAGATAATAACAGACTTTCTGAAGTTTATACTTTGACGAAATAGACAAGAAATGCCATTTGCTTCCTCCTGCCCCCTCCCACCCCATAAATTTAGTATTTAAAACATGAATTGTGTTGTAAGAATGCTTCTTGGCTTTTAGGTGTCACTGGAGATGGGGAAAATCTTAGTGGAAGGTGTGGGAGAAGTTCAAGAGTACGTGGATATTTGTGATTATGCTGTTGGCTTATCGCGGATGATTGGTGGACCCATCTTGCCTTCTGAAAGTAAGCAATGAAGTCAGTTAAACTTAGAGTTCTGTGCTCTTAGACTGTACTCCAAAAAAATGCCCTGGCTATGACTAGTTTGCAGAAGAATTGCATGTAGCATGTAAACATATGAAAATGTCTTTAATCTCTGTACTAATGTAAATTAAAATAGGTGAAAATATCAGATCAAGATCCTTGTTAAAATTTTGTATTTTTAAAGCCAAAACTCCGTTTTGGGAAGTCTGTAGGTGAGATAGCCACTCTTTATGGGGACTTTTGGCAACATGAATCACTAGTCCATAACAAAAACAATTTGAAAATAAATCCAAAGGGCCCGAAGTTTAATACCAGTTTCAAGACTCTAATTTGAGTAAATAATCAATATGAAATATGACAAAGGTTTATATATAAAGGTGTTCGTTGTAGTATCACTAGGAAAAATCTGAAATGACCTAATCCCGTATCATATGACAAATGTTAAGCTAATTTTGGTAGTCTAGTAACATATTTTGAAAGTCATACTTAACGGAGATTGCTCTCCCCTAATCTTGCACTTTGGGTTTTTTTTTCTTTCTTAAAGATTTTATGTATTTGACAGAGCACAGGCAGTGGGAGAGGGAGAGGCAGAGGGAGAAGCAGGCTCCTCTCTGAGCAAGGAGACCGATGCAGGGCTTGATCCCAGAATCCTGGGATCATGACCTGAGCCAAAGGCAGATGCTTAACTGACTGAGCCACCCAGGTGTCCCAGGAATATGTTTTTTTAAAGAGCCAATTTTCCTGTTTTTCTTGGCGTATTTGGTAAATTTCCTATTGGTGGAAAGAATTGGGGGGGTTTTTTTGTTTGTTTTTGTTTTTTTACTGTTCTTAATTAGGTATATAGCAATGATTCCCATTAGCCAAGATGCATTTTATGTTTTATGTTACTGATCATTTTCCTTTTTTTAATATTTATTTATTTGAGAGAGAAAGAGAGCATAAGTGCGGAGGAGGGAGGGAGCGAGAGGGAGAAGCAGGCTCCCCAGTGAGCAGGAAACCCCATGGGGGGTTCCATCCCAGGACCCTGGGATCATGACCTGAGCCAAAGGCAGATGTTCAGCTGACTGAGCCACCCAGGTGCCCCATTACTAATAATTTCCAATAGGCTTTTCTAGTTAAAAAAGTAAATTGTCAGTTTGGAGAAGCATATGTATGCAAACAAGGAATTTCTTTGATATATACTTACTGAGATGTCTGCCTCACCAATTAAAATCTTTTTCAGTTGTAGGCACATTTTTTTTTAAAGACTTTATTTATTTATTTGTCAGAGAGAGCACAAGCAGGCAGAGTGGCAAGCAGAGGCAGAGAGAGAAGCAGACTCCCTGCTGAGCAAGGAGCCCGATGTGGGACTTGAACCCAGGACCCCGGGATCATGATCTGAGGCAAAGGCAGAAGCTTAATGACTGAGCCACCCAGGCGCCCCTGTAGGCACATTTTTTAGAAGAGTAGGTTATTAGTTTCTCTATGCAGAGGCTTTTGGGCGACTTTGATTTCATTAATGTAGTAAATGCTTACTGAGTGTGTACCAGGTACCAGGTGAATTGATAGTGATACTTGATCAGTAAGGCATTATCCTTGTCCTGAAGGGATTGATTGATTGAGCGAGTGAGTGTGCATAGTAGTGAGGCGGGGGTAGGGGGACAGGGAGTGAGAGAATCTTAAGCAGACTCCCTGCCCAGCACAGACCCCCACACAGGGCTCATCTCATGACCCTGAGGGCTTGACCTGAGCTGAAATCAAGTCAGAGGCTTAAGCAGCCGAGTCACCCAGGCACCCTGTCCTGAAAGAGTTTAAAGCTTAAAGATACCCGACATTTTAGAGTGGGAGGAAAGTGGGACACAAGTAATGGGATAATTATAAAAGTGCATGGTGGGTACTGTGATGGGGTGCAGGGGAGGGTGGTGACCCTGAGCCAGCCTTATGAGTCAATCAGGAAACGCCCCTAGGAGAGACAGTAATCCAAGATCAGGCCTCAAGGCAGAGAGGGGTGGAGTGCTGGGGCAGGGGTGCTCTGACCTTGGGAAGAAGTCTGTTAGTTAAAGTGAGAGGACCTGGCTTATTTGGGTAGCTGCCTTGCTTCGGTGTAGCTTGAGGGCACTCTGTGAGGGGAGACACCTGTCCTGGTGAGGAGCTCGGACTTTGTCCTGAGGGCAGCTGCAGTAGCCATCCAGACACCACAGGCTTGTAAGCAGAGGACAGAGGGCATCAGGGCTGCACTAGCCTCCCTGGGGAGGATGACAACGAGGGGAGGGGCCAGGAAGAGGCTGTGTCAGTACATCATTTCCAGGGCGATTGAGCTCAACTAAAGGAGGGCCAGGGAGAGAGGATAGCCACTGCTGGGTTTCATGTTCTGCAGAAAGATGGACGGCTGGGAGCCCCACCTTCCTAGTTGGTCTGTGGTTTTAACTCAGTTTGTGACCTTTCTTGCTTCAGTTCACTGCTCTGGCTTCCTTTGATTAAAATATGCTGCTTGGGGCACCTGGGTGGCTCAGTTGGTGAGCGACTGCCTTTGGCTCAGGTCGTGATCTCGGGGTCCTGGGACCGAGCCCAGCATCAGGCTCCCTGCTCAGTGGGGAGCCTGCTTCTCCCTCTGCCTTTCCCCTTGCTTGTGTTCCTGGTCTAGCTCTCTCTCTCTCTCTCTGTTAAATGAATAAATAAAATCTTAAAAAAATAAAAAATACACCCTTTGTGGGACTGTGGGTGACAGTATATTTAAAATTTGTTTTTTTTTAAAGATTTTATTTATTTATTTATTTGACAGAGACACAGTGAGAGAGGGAACACAAGGTAAGGGAGTGGGAGAGAAGCAGGCTTCCCGCAGAGCAGGGAGCCCGATGTGGGGCTTGATTCCAGGACCCTGGGATCAAGACCTGAGCCAAAGGCAGACGCCTAACGACTGAGCCACCCAGGTGCCCCTATTTAAAATTTGTATATAGAATACGTATATTTCTTTTTATTTATCATTTTTCTTATATGAACTCAAAGACTTGTGCACTTCATTCATTTACCATACGTGTAATTCTTAGAGCTGTTCTTTTTTTCATATAAATGAGCCACCTTTTCTCTCTTTGAAGAGGTCAGCCAAGGACTTGACAGACAATGTAAAGAACAGGAATCACAGCTCTGGGGTCATGCCCTTGGCATTCACATCCCCCAGGGCACCTCTCATCACCTCTTGGCGTTTTCTTTGTCTTCCAGAGGGTGCTGATGCTGCCCTGCTCCATACAGAGCTCCTTTAAGATCAGAGGCACAATGATCAGTACCCTTTATAACCTAGTGTAGTAACAACAGCTTTATTGTATGCTAATTAATGTACCTATGTAAAGTGAGCCACTGTAAGGCACCCGGAGTCTGCCCTGGGTCTGGTGCACCTTCTTTCTCAGAATGAATGATTTCAGACTCTTAGTACCATCAAATGCATTAAGATACTAGCTTAAGTGTTCTGCCCCATCCCGTGTCCTCAGGACCTGGCCATGCCCTCATTGAACAGTGGAATCCTGTAGGCCTGGTTGGGATCATCACTGCGTTCAACTTCCCTGTGGCAGTATATGGCTGGAACAATGCCATCGCAATGATCTGTGGGAATGTGTGCCTTTGGTAAGATCTCAGCTTCTTAAGTGGTAGTAAGATGATAAAAATAGCCGTTTTCAGGTACTGCCTGAAGGATTTTAAATGTATTGAAATGTTTTCTAATATCCTACTCTTTAATGGACATATAAGTCACACCTGCTAATTGATTGATTTTTTTATTACTGCATATTTTGCCATTGGTAAGATTAATTTTTTTGCCTTACTTTTTTTTGGCAAATGGCTTGTCCCCACTCTCGCTTCCAGCTGTTTCCACCCCAAGTGGATATACTGTAAGAGTTAGTTATAGGCTCTACAGGTTTATGGGCTCAGTCCTCCACAAGGCTTAGATGTAAGCCACAAGTGTCCCAGGTCACCCAGGACATCTGCAGTTCTGGCCAGTCTTGTATAAATTAGGAGGTACCCGTGAATCCTCAGTTGCAGTAATTCACTAGAATGACCCACAGAGCTCAAGAAAATGCTATATTTAATAATGATTACAATTTGATTTTAAAAGTCTAGTCCTCTACCGAATAAGCTAGCCAGACACTTGATTATAATTTGATTTTAAAGGATACATCTAGGGTAAGGTGTAGAAAGGTCCCAGATGCAGAGCTTCTGCGCCTTCTCCCAGTTGAGCTGGGGCAGGGCACCCTACCTACCAAGAAGCCACACTGATCTTTGGTGTCTGCAGTTTCTCTTGGGGGTTCCTTACAAAGGCACAGTTGATTAAATCATTGGACATGTGATTGGACTCTCTCAGCCCTCCTCTTGCCCCCATAGATGGAGTCCCAGAGGGCCGATAGTTCGATCACGGCCTTGGATTTTATGGTGACCAGTGACCAGCCCCCATCGGGTCCCTGTCTAGCATTGCCCCCTCCCCAAATCACCTTGTTAACGTAACTCCCTGTTAGCATAACACATACCCTGGGGGTAATTCCAGAGGATTCTGTTACGCTTTCAGAAACTGGGAAGAAAGACCCGGATGGAGCCTTTATACCACCCTCTAAGAACAAAACTAAGTTAAAAAGTTGGAGAAAAAAAAGAACTTGGGAAGAGTCACAACCTTCCTTGTGAAATTTTGACTTTTTTTCCCCCCCCTTCCCATAAAAATTTCATAGTGAATTCCCAAGTAATTCTTCGGTTCTTGGCCAGTGTTCCCATTGATATGTTAACTTTTACATCTTCATAAAATACATGATAGTAGAAGTTAGTTGGGAAATGCCTGTTTTGCAGATGGCAAAACACTTTCCTGTTTTTCGCTTCCATGGTGAGATCAGGAAAGCCAAGAGAGTTGTCTTGGCCTGCTTGGCATCTGTCTCACTAGTTACTTACTTAACTGTAATGTTGTGTTCAGTTGACTGTATTCACAGACCGTCTACAAAAGCCAGGCATCGCTGGGAGATTAATGATTTGACACCATCTTGCCAAAGAGACCCACGCTTTCTGGTGTTTGAGTCCATAAAGACTAGTTGTATGGTTTTCCTCAGTTCTGCATGCCTTCTGGGGAACTTCTGAAGTTCACGTTGATAGAGTTCCATTTCCATAATTGACAAAGGTTAATATAACAGTCCCTGTGTTCAGTGCAGCGGGCAGGTTCAGAATTGCCATTTTATGTTTTTCAAAGTTTTATAGTCCCTTGAGTCCCAGAGACACAAAGCTGAAGAAGGACAGATTTTTATTTCAGTTACCAGGTTCTGTGGTCTGATTGGGACAGAATTTGTCACACAGAATTTTGGTTCTGCTTGACAGTAAAAGGTATTTATGATTTCCACCAAATTAAGTTGCGTTTTTCTTTTTTTTAACCCTCTCAAGGAAAGGAGCTCCAACAACTTCGCTCATTAGTGTAGCTGTCACAAAGTAAGTATGTGTGGCTTGCTTTTTCCTGAGTGTTGCATAATCTCAAAGGCTGGCACTGATTTTTATTTATTTATTTATTTTCAAAAATTTTTTAAGAATTAATTTATTTGACAGGCAGAGATCACAAGTAGGCAGAGAGGCAGGCAGAAAGAGAGAGGGAAGCAGGCTCCCCGCTGAGCAGAGAGGAGATCATGACCAGAGCCGAAGGCAGAGGCCTTAGCCCACTGAGCCACCCAGGTGCCCGGGTGGCACTGATTTTTAATTCAGTGGAAGAGTCACATGTACTTAAGCAGGAAATTTGTATAACCTCTTTCTCCTTTGATTGTAATAACATTTTGATAATCATTTTACAGTATATGGAGCTCTTCCGTGGCTCTTTGGAAACATGCCAAATATTGATTAACATACTGAAACTGAGCTCTTAACAAACGTTTATGTCACTTGGGAAATAAAAACAAATCCAGTGGAAAGGAAGTCATGTAATTTAGGAGCGGTATTTAGTAACTGCTGAACATGTTCATGGTTTTTTATTTCTACCCAGCTAATACTTTATTGCTTTTGTTTAATAAGTGATTAGCAAAACAGAAATGATAATACTGTTCTACTGATACTTAGAATGTCTAAAATGTATTTCATCTTTGGATTACCGATTTTTTAATTCATTTTTGAGAACTTGACAATTCTGATTAGGTCATAAAATTAGTGTTACTAATCTGTCATTGTGGAATTTGGAGACTGTGTAGAAGAGGATGCCTTCCCGTGTAGAGTGGTGGTTGTTGACTGTCCCTGATGTTCCATTGGTTGCATGGTCTGCCTTCTCTGATAGAAGAATTGCTCGGAGAAAGCATGTGAAGTCTCTGTGGAAGAGGGTCCTTAATGTGAAAAGTTCACTTAGGGACAGCGGCTTAGGAATTGAAACGTGGGCCGAAAAAGAGAGTAGTGTGTGTGTTAGTATATACTTGAAAGGAATGTGTGGTGATATTGAGGAAACTTTATCCTCCAAGGCAAAATAATTAAATTGAGTAATTAAATAATTATTGGCTTACCATAATTAAAATTTGATCGTAATTATACTTAAATTATAATTAAGTATTATAGACAACGATAATCTGCAAAACACACGAGACAGAACATATCTATAAAAATGATGAGTTTCCCAGGCAGTTTTTTTGTTTTTTGGGGTTTTTTGGTTTGTTTTTTGTTGTGGGGTTTTTTGTTTTGTTTTCTATGTAAAAATTTGGTTTTATTAAAGCACAGGGATAGGACCTGTGGGCAGAAAGAGCTGCCTCCCAGGGAGTTTAAAAAAAAAAAACAACCCAAGACAGTTCTCTTAACATAGTGAACCAGACTTGCCAGTTGTTTTTAAGCAGCTGGTTTAAAATACCTATTTTGACAGTAGTTTCAAATGTTCTAGGTAATTGCTGTTTTGAGCTTATTTATGTATTTGCTCTAAACAGACTGAAGGATTTGAAATGTTCTTAGGGGAACATGGCCTGTTCTTTACATAATTAAGGATGTTACCTGTTTTTGTCGCAGAAGACAGTAAGTAAAATGATGCTAGGTTTTGCTGGAATTCACCAAGGGTGCCGTAATGTTCCTATAAATTGAGTAGTTCTTATAAACTGAGTTCTTATAAATTGAGCTAAACGTTCAGATTCGTACATGATGACAAGGCCATGTTGCCCCGGCGGATAACATCCAGTATTTCTTTTCATTCTGTGTCTCTGTAGCAGCTCATGCAGGAGTAGGGAGATGAGAGTTGCTTTGGACAGATTTGGGGGGGGGGGTGCCCTGGTGTAAAAGCCTCCTGACCCTCAGGACCCAAAATGTATTGGAACAGTTCCTTAGGCAGAGCTCTTAGCTACCCACAAGGGACATGAAATTCCAAGAGTCCCTGTGCTCAGGGACGACCAAAATGTGTGAGGTTCCCATTTTCAGGTTTCAACGTTGACCAGCTCAGGCGTCATTTCTAGCATAAGTCATGCTGTGTCTCTGTAGACTTGTTGATACTCGAACATTTACCAGGCAACCAGGGCAGGAGAATAAGAGAGTTAATCCAGTGCCAGGGGCTCATGCAGTACAGGAAAGGGTTTGGTGAGCTCCTAGGCACAAACCAGAATCCCCACCCTTGAAGAATAGTCTGTCTCCTTGTGTAGACAGTAGATACACCCTCAGTCCCTGGAAGAAATTGTACAACCTGATGCCTGGTCACAGATATGCCAGCTACACCTGTGATCCTTGATGGACAGAAAAAAGAAAACCAATAAAAAGGACATATTGGGGGACAACTAGAGAATATAACAACAGTATGTTTTTCATGGAAGTAGGTATAGAATTTGGACTTTCTTCTTTTTTTTTTTTTTTTAAGGTTTTATTTATTTATTTGACAGAGATCACAAGTAGGCAAAAGAGGCATGTAGAGAAAGGAGGGGGAAATAGGGTCCCCGCCGAGCAGAGAGCCCGATGTGGGGCTCAATCCCAGGACCCTGAGATCATGACCTGAGCTGAAGGCAGAGGCTTAACCCACTGAGCCACCCAGGCACCCTTTTTTCTTTCTTTTAAGAGGGAAGGAGAGAGAGAGGTCAGGGCGGAGGGAGTAACAGAGAGAGGGAGAGGGAGAATCTTAATGCTGGGCTGAATCTGCTGACCCTGGGATGATAAGCCAAGCTGAAGTCAGAACTCAAGACACTTGGGGGACCTGGATGGCTCAGTCGGTTAAGCATTTGCCTTGGGCTCAGGTCATGATCTCAGGGTCCTGGGATTGAGCCTCCAGTTGGGCTCCCTGCTTATCGAGGAACCTACTTCTCCCTCTGCCCCTCACCTCGCTGGTGCGCTCACTCGCTCGAGCTCTCTCTCTCTCTAAAATAAAGATTTTTTTCTTAAAGAATTTATTTATTTGACAGAGATAGCAAGCAGGCAGAGAGGCAGGCAGAGAGAGAGAGGGGAAAGCAGGCTCCCCGCTGAGCAGTGAGCCCGATGTGGCGCTCGATCCCAGGACCCCAGGATCATGACCTGAGCCGAAGGCAGGAGCTTAACCCACTGAGCCACCCACGTGCCCCTAAAATAATCTTTTAAAAAAAGACACCTAACGGACTGAGCCACCCAGGTGCTCCATGTATTTTTCTTCTTAAGATTTTAGGGGAAAATAAGTTGTGCTTTTAAGGTGTTAGAAATCCTTGTGTCTGATATGTCAGGTGAAATCCAGGCCTGCGTGTTTGGGACTCGGGCTAAGGGGTTAAAAGAGTTTAAACAGCAAAATTATTCCAGTTTTAAAAAAAAACTTTCAGAAACTAAGTTGTTGGGGTGCCTGGATGACTCAGTGGGTTGAACTTCTGCCTTTGGCTTAGGTCATGATCTCAGGGTCCTGGGATCGAGCCCCACATCCGGCTCTCTGCTCAGCAGGGAGCCTGCTTCCCCCCGCCACCCTGCCTGCCTCTATGTCTACTTTTGATCTCTCTGTCAAATAGATAAATAGAATCTTAAAAAGAGAAAGAAAGAAAGAAAGTAAATTGTTCCTTTCTCCGTAATTGTTTTTCCATTTCTAGAATAATAGCCAAGGTTCTGGAGGATAACCAGCTGCCTGGTGCGATCTGTTCCTTGACTTGCGGTGGAGCGGACATTGGGTAAGTCGTTGGGCCTAGAGCAGCTTTTTGTTGAAGGACTTCAGGTCCATTGGTTAGAATCTTCTTTATTAGAGTAATGAAACCCAGGCCAGCTGAGGAGGAGGGAGGGGTTTTGGGGAATCATTATTATCTCGTACCTCATTGGGCTTTGCCTTTGTTAGGACATAGCCTTTGTTGGAGGATGAATAAGATTATCTTTTTAATTGCCCAGAGCTAGTTTTGTGAGGTGTTTATAGTCTAAAATAAGAAATTCCTGGGGTGCCTGGGTGATTCAGTCCGTTAAGCATCTGCCTTCCACTCGGGGTGGTGATCCCAGAGTCCGGGGATGGAGCCCCATGTTGGGCTCCTTGGTCAGCAGGGAGACTGCTTCTCCCTCTCCTCTGCCACTCCCCCTGCTTGTGCTTTCTCTTGCTAGTTCTCTCTCTGTGTCAAATAGAGTCTTTAAAATAAAAAAAAGAAAAAGAAAAAGAAAAACTCCTGTAACATTGAGAAGTCTATGGCTTTCTGCCACTTAGTTCATAGAGGTGCTTACTTAGAAAAACCAAAGCTGTGGAATTGGAGTCTGGTGTCTCCCTCAGCTGAGAACCTGTCCTGTTGTCTAGGTTCTTCAGCTGACCAATAAAAGGGACCTCTGGAAATGTAGCCTCTTTTTAAAAATGTATTGTTTTTAGAAAATTGCTGTATAATTCACATACCGTAGAATTCGCTCTTTAAAAAGGTACAGTTGAGAGGTTTTTAGAATATTCACATTGTTGTGCAACCATTACCGTTACTGTCTTCCAGAACATTTTCATTAGACCAAAAAGGAATCTCATTCTCATTAGCAGTCACTTGGCATTCCCCCCACTCCCCCGCAACCACTCCTCTACTCTGTCTCTGTACGTGTGCCTTTTGGGAACCTTTCATATAAGTGGAATACTACAACATGTAGGCTTTGTGGTTTCTTTAACTCAGCATCCTATCAGAGCCTTTTCCTAAGCCGGGAGCTGTAATTGCCCTGATCCGTGATGAAAGCTGAAGTTACTACTGCTGGCTTAGATGTTGATTAGGTGTGTTTTCCCTGGAGGCCCCTGGGATTTGGGCCTTACAGCCCGCACTGGCTTGGGTGAAACGTTGGTCTCCCTCCTTCACTTACCGTACTGCTCCACTTGTCCATTTCAGAGAGGAATAATACATTCGTCTTTTGATAAGAATGAGAACATAGCAGGAAATACAACTTCCACATGTAGAGTACCTAGTGAAATATTATCTACATGTCATTTATAACATTACAACATTTGTGCTCTTTGAGCATCCATCCTTCATATTGGTCTTGGACTGGCTCAGAGGGAGGAGTGTTTGCAGGCATGCATTAAGTAACAGCTACTTGTGCATTAGGTAACGGTACTTAGAGTATCAGTGCTAAGGTTTGCTGGGCGGAACCTGGAGACATCTCCGTGTATAATCCCATCAAGCAGTTCTAGCCTTACAGTTTATCTCTTGGGCTGGTTGATCTGCTAGTCTGCTACCAAACCCTTCGGAGCCCTGAACCAAGAGCCAAGAGATTTGCATCTGTAGTGTCTGGTCTATATTTCTTAGAGATAACTGGAAGTCCTAGCACAGTCTTCATTAAGTGAGCTTCCATGAGAGATACTTAGGATGTTTCCCTATAGTCTTCAGACTTTTAATTCTTTTTTTTCCTTAAGATTTTATTTATTTGACAGCACAAGCAAGGTTAGCAGCTGGCAGAGGGAGAGGGACAAATTCCCTGCTGAGCAGAGCTGGACACGGGGCTCTATCCCAAGACCCTGGGATCATGACCCTAGCATCTTCCAAAGGCAGGTGCTTAACCAGCTGAGCTACCCAGGTGTCCCTCAGACTTTTAATTTTTTTTTTTTTAAGATTTTATTTATTTATTTGGGAGAGAGAGAGAATGAGAGAAAGAAAACATGAAAGGGGAGAGGTCAGAGGGAGAAGTAGACTCCCTTCTGAGCAGGGAGCTGGACGTGGGACTCAGTTCTGGGACCCCAGGATCATGACCTGAGCTGAAGGCAATTGCCCAACCAACTGAGCCACTGAGGTGCCCCCAGACTTTTAATTCTTTTTTTTTTTTTTTTTTTTTAAAGATTTTATTTATTTGACAGAGTCACAAGTAGGCAGAGATGCAGGCAGAGAGAGAGGAGGAAGCAGGCTCCCCGCTGAGCAGAGAGCCCGATTGCGGGGCTCGATCCCAGGACCCTGGGATCATGACCTGAGCCGAATGCAGAGGCTTCAACCCACTGAGCCACCCAGGCACCCCCAGATTTTTAATTCTTAAAAGAATTAATAGTTTAGGAGTCTGCAATGTAATTGGGATGCTCATAGAGGAAATGCTAAGGTTATAATGTATATCATCCTTTTTTAAAAAAATATTTGAGAGAGAGAGTACTCAAGAGTGAGTGGGAGGAGGGGCAGAGGGAGAGAGAATCCTGAAGCAGACACCCTGCTGAGTGTGGAGCCCAATGTGGGACTCTGAGATCATGACCTGAGCTGAAACCAAGAGTCGGCAGTTTAACGAACTGAGCCTCTCAGGCGCCCCAGGACTTTGATCCTTAACAATGTCCTCAAGGTGATTTCCGTTTATTGAGAGCTCCCAAATCAGATTAGCCTGTTGGACTGTATGGGTTTGCTTGTGAAAATCTAGTTCATTTTCATGAAGACCTTCCTTTGCACTCTTGGGATAGACTGACGTGTATCTTTGACTGAGAGCCATTCTGTGGTGAGGAAGCATGTCAGTGCTCTGGCTTGGTGCGAGTAGGTGGTGCTATTGCTGGACTTCTCTGCCTGGGTGACCTTGTTTGTTCCCTTGCAGCACAGCAATGGCCAAAGATGAGCGGGTGAACCTGCTGTCCTTCACCGGGAGCACACAGGTGGGAAAGCAGGTGGCCCTTATGGTGCAGGAGAGGTTTGGTAAGTGTTGACTTTCTCATGAGCAGTGTGATGGATAGGGAATCTCAGAGTTGGGTTTTTTTTCTTGGATTGTTTCTATGGGGACACCAGCCATGTTTATTTGACTGTCCAAGTAAAAGAGAAGGGATACAGATACCAATGGGGAGATGGCACATTTAAGAACGTAATTTGGAAAAGCGTGTCTTTTCCCCCTAAATGACCAGAGCGAAATCCTATCAAATACATTTCTTGATTTCTGTCAGAAGTGTTTGGCAAACTAAAAACAGAAAAGTCATACTTTAAATAGGTGTAGGGATTGGCAGGACATGGAGTGAATATAGGAATGGAATACCTAAGTCTGTTCTCCTTTTACATTTTACGTATATACAACTGACAAGTTGTATACACAGTGTTCTGTCCTCCACTGGACGGCTTCTTAGAGTTACGTTTTCAAGAATAATAGTGACTTTAAATTTTTGGTGGTTTTGCTGAATTTTGACAAACCCTAGCCTAAAATGAGACTTGACTACTAAATCTGCCAGTTGTTTTGCTATAAAGGCATTGCTTTTACTTATTTTCCCCATCCTGAAGGCGTGGCTTTTTTTTTTTTTTTTTTTTTAAATAAAGTAGGCTCCCCTCCCAGCATGGAGCCCAGTGCAGGGCTTAAACTCAAGACCCTAAGATCAAGAATCAGATACTTAACCGTCAGAGCCACCCAGGCACCCCAGGGTGTTAAACAGGAGGCTTACAAACCATTAGAGCTAATAAGTAAGGTCAGGTTGCAGGATACAAGATCACTATACAGAAATCACTTGTATTCCTATGCCTCAACAGTGAACAACCTGAAAATGGAATTCTGAAGACAATTCCATTCACAGTAGTGTCAAAAAGAACAAAATACTTTTTTTTGAAAAAAATTTTATTTACTTATTTGAGAGAAAGAACACAAGCAAGGGGCAGGAACAGAGGAAGAAGGAGATTCCCCACTGAGTAGGGAGCCCAACTCGAGGCTTGATCCCAGGACCCTGAGATCAGGACCTGAGCCCAAGGTAAATGCTTAACCGACTGAGCCTCCCAGGCACCCCTAAAACAATAAAATACTTAATAGTAAATTAAACAGGGGCACCTGGCTGGCTCAGTGGGTAGAGTATGCAACTCTTCATCTCTGGGTTGTGAGGTGGAGCCCCACATTGGTGTGGAGGTCTCTTAAAAATAAAATCTTCAAAAAAAAAAATTAACAAAAGGAGTTGAAGTCTTTCACACAAAATACTACAGAATACCATTAAAATAAAGAAGATCTAAGTAAATGTAAAGATGTCCCATTTTCTCTTTTTGGAAAAGTTGATATTGTTACAGCCTAAGAGCAATACTGCCCAAGTAGTCTATGGAGATTGCGGTCCCTTTCATAATGTTACGTGGCTTCTTTGCAGAAATCGACAGGCTGATTGCTAAATTTAGATTAACTATGGAGGACCGCAAGCAGCTCAGACAGTCTTGAAAAAGAATAAATTTCGAGGATCCATACTTCTGATAACACAACTTCGTACAAAAATACAGTAATCAAGATGATGTACTGGCCTAAGGATAGATGTCAGGATCAGTGTAATAACAGTGGGAGTCCTGAAATAAACCCTTACAGTTAGGTCATTTGATTTTTGATGAGGGTGCCAAGACATTTCAATGGAGAAAGAGTAGTCTTTTCAACAAAGGGCAAAGGGTGTTGGGACAACTAGATATCCATGTACGTGGTAAGAAATTAGACCCCCTACTTCATCTTGTACACAAAAAATAAATGTTCCGGTGACATGGATATAGGAGCTGGAACCGTGAAACTCAGAGAAGGAAACATAGGAATAGGTTTTTGTGACTGTGGACTAGGCAGTGCTTTCTTCGACATGACACCTAGAGCAGAAACAATAAAAGATTAAGAAGACTTCATCAGGGGCGCCTGGGTGGCTCAGTGAGTTAAGCCGCTGCCTTCAGCTCAGGTCATGATCTCAGGGTCCTGGGATCAAGTCCCACGTCGGGCTCTCTGCTCAGCAGGGAGCCTGGTTCCCTCTCTCTCTCTCTCTCTCTCTCTCTCTGCCTGCCTCTCCGTCTACCTGTGATCGCTCTCTGTCAAATAAATAAAATCTTAAAAAAAAAAAAAAAAGAAGACTTCATCATACATAAAACTTCTGTGCTTCCAAAGAAACTTAAAAGTGAAAAGAAAAACCCGCAGAATGGGAGAAGGTATTTGCAAATCCTTTTTCTGATGAGAGATTCGTATCTAGAATAAAGAAAGAATTCTTAAAGTTCAACAGTGTAAAACACAGCCCAGTTTAAAAATGGGCAAAGCTTTTGAATAGATATTTGTTCGAATATTCACCATGACCCCAAGAAGCTTATGCTGGGGTGCTCAAGATCATTAATGCTACTGCTTCCATGAGCCAGTTGATCTCTTCCTTTTCCGTTCCCCTTATTACTTTAAAGCCGTTGTTTGGTACTGTCTCTTAAGTAGTACTGTTTAATAGAAGGATTGCGGTCTTTAGAAACACATATCCATCTGCCATCAGTTGCAGGTTCTTTTATTGGACAGGGTTGGTGGTTATGAGTAGAGTTAGGGAGCACAGAGAGAATTCAGAGGATCTGGAATGTGTGGGTCCCTTCTCTGCAGTGTGTCCCTTGAAGCTGGGCAGCAGGAGCCCATGTTAGGTGTAGAATCTGCTGTTGCTTTCCTTTTCTCAGCAGGTAGCATTGTCCTCTGCTGTAGCGAGCCAGGTTATCATTAAATCCTCTATTGTAGCAAAGACTACAGCTAATAGTAACAGGGACTTCCGGTTATAACAGCCCCATCTCCTTCTAATGTCCCCTGGGTGCTTTAACTATTAGCATTGGAGAGAACGTTTCCTGCTGGCACATGCACTCCTGATAGCACAAATTAGTAGTATTTATTTACACAGAAGCTGATTTTAAAGGGCATTTAAGGAAACATACTCAAATGATCAGCCATAAACACAGCTCTGAAATCGAGGCAAATCTCTGTTCTTTATTGCTGAGGTGTGTAAGGTAAGAGTGGTGTTCATAACCTGCTGTGTGGCTTTCCTGGAATGTAAGTTGGCAGTGTGTATCGGGAGCTCTAATAGACTTACCCTGTGGCCTTGACTGAAGTAGATAATCGGGGGGTAGATAATCAATAGATTATTCAGCACTAGAGCAGGAGCTAAGTAAAATTTGTTCCATCATCATGTTGAAATTGTATGCAGTGATTTTTCAGGCAGCTCTTAACTACTTAGGGAAGAGGTGTAAGAGCACATTAGTTCCTGTGATGTCAAGAAAATACAAATGAACAGGAAAGAGATTTGAAGGCGCTGTATCAGATTATGAGGAGAGATTCATGGTGACTTACGAGCCATAGCTTTTTGCCTATTTGATACTTTTTGATTTAAAAAAGATTCTTGTTGTTCAGTTTCTTTTTTTTTATTGTGGTAAAAGAAGTGTATGTATATATATATGTGTGTGTGTATGTGTGTATGTATATCACAAAATTTATCATTTTAATCATTTTAAGTGTATACTTCTATATCACTAAGCACATTTTCATTGCTATTCAACCATCATCACCATCCCTCTCCAGAACTTTGTTTTCCCAGTTGTATCCCCATTAAAAGTGAGCTCCCTGTTTCTGCTATCCTCCAGCTCTTGGCTACCATTATTCTGCTCGCTTTCTTCATGGGTTTGACCAGTCTGAGAACTTCCTGTGAGTAGCATTACCACTCAGTACCTGCTGACCTTACATAGTATGTCTTAAAGGTGGTGGCATGTGTCAGAACCACCTTCCTTTTTAGAGCTGGATAATAATTTATTTTCTCATTTTTTGATGGACCCTTGGGTTGTTTCCACCTTTTAGCTATTGGTGAAGGACCCAGAAGTGGATTGTTAGATCATATGGTAATTCATTGTTTAATATCTTGGCAGATTACAAAACTTCCCAGACTTCTAAAAAGAGTTTCAAGGGGTAGAGCTTTCACATTGAGAGAAAAGTTCCAGAACTAACACATGGATTCCTGTATGCCCTTAATGAAATTCACCCAGTGGCTTACGTGTTGGCCCATTTATCGTTTTCTCTCTAGCAACATGCATGCATGCACATAAACTGTGAGTTTCTTTTAAACCTTTGAAGATATGTTGAAAGCATTGTGTTTCTTTACCACTGAATATTTTGGTGTATATCTTACGAGTACAGACATTGTGCCATAAAACCATGGTACAGTTAAGAAAATTAAGATGTTTGACATGGATGCAATGCTCATACTACATTTAGAATCTGAAAATAAATTAAGACATAATTGAAATAGGCTGTGGTTTCAGGCTTTCTTGCAATATGTGTTAAATACTGAAATGGGCTTTAAAGTGTGTTTGTGTTTTTAAAGGGAGAAGTTTGTTAGAACTTGGAGGAAACAATGCCATTATTGGTAAGTTTGCCTTTCATTTATTTTCTTTCTTTCTCTTTCTTTCTTTTTCTAATTTATTTATTTGATGGAGAAAGAGCAAGAGAGGGAACAGAAGCAGGGGGAGTGAGAGGGAGAAGCAGGCTTCCTGCCGAGCAGGGACCTCAATGCGGACTTGATCCCAGGACTCTGGGATCATGACCTGAGCTGAAGACAGATGCTTAACGACTGAGCCACCAGGCATCCCTGCCTTTCTTTTATTTTCTGTTCAGAATAGCTTTGGTAGCTCAGATGAACATACAGAACTCAAATAGAAACTCATCCCTCCTGTGTTGTGTGCGCCTAAGACGTAATTTTAGTTTTCAGGTTTTACTTGGGAGACATGATGTAAAGGTGTGAGGCAGAGATGACTAGGAAGGACAGGTGTTCATGTTAGGAAATGCTACCTGGGGCTTAGAGCTTATTATACCTGAGAATTTATAGTGTGGCATGATTTCTTACTTTTCTCCTACTTCAGGAAAACTGGCCACGTTTCTCTAGAATAAGTGAGTAATTCTTACATGACTTCCTGATTCCTTCATATTTTAAAATATTTGCTTGTCTGTAATGGATACTGAGTGCTTTTATACTGGGAAAGAGCCCGCCCTTAAAGCATTTTGTATCGTTTACTCGTAGGCTCGGAGTTGACGTGATTCTTTTTTTTTTTGTTTTGGCCACAAAAGGAAATAGGGCACCAGGCTGTTCTGATAACGAACATTAGGAAGATGATTGCCTGCTAGAAACATGGATTTTGTGATAAAAACCAAATTTGGTAATTTGTATATTGCCATCATTATCATCATGTGTAAATGCCTGTGTATTTGTGGTGTACACCAGAAATTTAAAAAGTTTGTGGTGATGGCTTTATTCTGGTTGAACCCATCTAGTTAAAGAACGTGCATTCAAAGATACAGTTAACATTTAGTGAGCACTGGGTATTCACAGATACTGTATACAGCTGTTTCATCTGAGTTATTTCCTTTAATCCCCACAGTAATCCCGTAAGGTAGATAGCATTATTAATCTCCTTTGACATCTGTACTGGGGTGAAGACCTTGGAGCTCATTATTCTGCTCTTACGTAATCCTCCCTGGAAGGAAAGTTGCCCTGTGAAGTGAGCGTGCTTCTGTCGCAGAGGAAATGCTGGTGCTCTCTTACAGAGCGTTCTGAGGGCATCATTTAGTCCCGGTTAGCACGTCTCCTTGGTGACACTGATGGGTATCTGTTTTGTCTCTCTAAGCCTTTGAAGATGCAGACCTCAGCTTAGTCGTTCCGTCAGCCCTCTTTGCTGCTGTGGGGACAGCTGGCCAGAGGTGTACCACTGCGAGGCGCCTGGTGAGTGTGTCCGTGAGGGCACATGACATTGAATGACATTCAGTCCCTTAGTATCACACTGTACTGTTAGGACACGTTGTAGAAGTACTGCTAGAGAACTGTATTCTGCAGACATGCTTGGCACATCTCTGGTCCTTGCTCAAGGTGGTGGTGCTGATCAGCCGGGCTCTCAGCCTCACCCTCCACCCAAACTAAAAGCAGACTCATGCTCATTGATCAGAGTTTGACTGGGACGGTTTTCAGTCTTAAACCTAGAACGATCTGGACAGAGTCCAGTGTCACTTAGAGAATAAAGTCAGGTCAGAGTTCGGAGATTTTGCAAATCATTTGCTAAAAGTTAGCTTTAGTTTTTTTCTTTTTTTTTTAAGATTTTATTTATTTATTTGACAGAGATCACAAGTAGGCAGAGAGAGGAGGAAGCAGGCTCCCTGCTGAGCAGAGAGCCCGATGCGGGGCTCGATCCCTAGACCCTGAGATCATGACCTGAGCCCAAGGCAGAGGCTTTAACCCACTGAGCCACCCAGGTGCCCCAGCTTTAGTTTTTTTCATAAAAGCACTTTAAGTAATAAACTGTTACAAAGATTTTAATTTGGGGCCTGCAAGTCTGGTATTAGATCTAGACTTGATTCTGCACGGTTTATTGAAAAGTAAATGACTTGGTTTTTTGTCTCTAGATGAATATATAGTCTGAATACAAATATATAGACCACATTAGTATTAAGTGCATATATGGAGTTATGGGTTAGCATCTGTGTGGAGTTTGGAAGTTTTAATCTCTATACTTAGATGTTAGCTAGATTTCATTTCTGTGTGGGATACAACCCTGATTTTCATGGTGCTGAAAACTCTGCTACTACCAAACAAGTTTTTGTTGTTGTTGTTGTTGTTTTTTAACATTTTTAAATTTACTTATTTGACAGAGAGAGATCACAAGTAGGCAGAGAGGCAGGAGAGAGAGAGAGGAGGAAGCGAGCTCTCCACGGAGCAGAGAGCCCGATGCAGGGCTCGATCCCAGGACCCTGGGATCATGACCTGAGCCCAAGGCAGAGGCTTTAACCCACTGAGCCACCCAGGCGCCCCACCAAACAACTTTTGATGAGGTGCAAGATCTGGCTACATTATTGACTTTTTTTTTTTTTTTTTTTTTAAGATAACGAGAAAGAACAGAGCAGGCGGGGCAGAGGGAGAGGGAGAAAGAGAATCTTAACCAAGGCAGGTTCCATGCCCATTGTGGAGCCTGATGTAGGGCTCGAGATGATGACCTGAGCTGAAATCGGGAGTTGGTCCCTTTAACTGAATGAGCCACCCAGGTGCTTGTACATTTGACATTTTAAAAATTACTGAGTTTTCCTCCTTTACTTAAAAAATTTTGCAGTTGAATTAGAGGAATTGGCTTTGTGTTTTTATTTTCACCCATGGTGAGTATGAACCAATTCTTTATAAGGTTGACATAATACAAATTAATTAGACTGAAAGATACCTAGAAAGCGAATCTCCTTTTTCTGTAACTTTTCGTATTCGTTTTTTCCCCCTGTATACAACAGTTGATTATCTGTAATCAGTTGTTCCATAGTTGTTCCATAGTTGAAGTTCTCAAAAAAAAAAAAAAAAATCTGAGGGGCACCTGGGTGGCTCAGTGGGTTAAGCCTCTGCCTTCAGCTCAGGTCATGATCTCAGGGTCCTGGGATTGAGTCCCACGTTGGGCTCTCTGCTCAGCGGGGAGCCTGCTTCTCTCTCTCCTTCTCTGCCTGCCTCTCTGCCTACTTGTGATCTCTCTGTCAAATAAATAAAATTAAAAAAAAAAAAAGGAGTCTCTTAAAAAAAAATCTGAGATGTGATGTTCATAGAATAATTAACAATTTATTGAATTTGTTTGCTTTAAACATTTACTACACTAATGCTGAGAAGAAATCAGTACTCCAAAAAATGAGATGGAACTCAAGCATTTGCCTATTCAGCTGAGTTTTATTTTTCATTTGTGTGTTGGGGCAAGTGTACATAATCAGGCTTTGTATTTAGCGTTAAATGTTAGAGGATGCTGTTAGTCACTGCCCAGACTGGTTTCCGTAGGGACAGTTAGTGGTATGTAGAAAAAATCCATCCCATAGCTCTCCATGACTGTCAGTCCATTTGCTACATGGAGACCAACCCAGAGAGTGGATGGTTTGACAAGTTCATCTCTATCCGTGGGAACGTAGCACAGAGCTTATTACATCCTACCTGAGTGAGCCCAAGGGCTGTCCTCCTGGTTGAGGTCTCCCTCTGGAGCCCTGCTTGGCGTGAGAGCTAAGGGCATGTGACAGAGCAGCAGCCCCAGGCTGACTGCACAGCTGTGGTGTGTGTTCACCATGATTAGCATAGATAAACTTGAGGTTCTCTTGTAATTAAGATGTCAAATGCTCTAGAACAAAAACAGGCTTTAATTGATGTGTGAAGCTTGGCCACGTAAGTCCTTAGAATCTTGCTAAAACCATGGCTTAAAATTTTTTCTAAGCTCCACTGAGTGGAAATTACTGCCTTAGTATAGTTAATATTAAAATTAGAAATTATCTAATACTAGTAATTATCTAGAAATTATCTAATACTAGTAATCTAATAATAATTAGTTTGCTTATGTTTTCAGAGGTCACAGTGTTTAAAAACCATTATGAGTTTTAAGTCAGTACTATTAAGGAAAATTGCACATTGTTAATTTGTACATTTTACTGTTCCCTTGAATGTTTCTTTTTTTCACTTAGTTTTTACACGAAAGCATCCATGATGAAGTTGTAAATAGACTTAAAAAGGCCTATGCACAAATCCGTGTGGGGAACCCATGGGACTGTGAGTAACTGGTTTATTTCAAAGATGTTTGCTTTTAACAACTGGTCTTAACAGTGTTTCTGATCTTATATTTTCTGTTTTTCCTTTCCTGAGAGGCCTGAGGGCATAAGAAGCAGGGTCATTGGGCACTTGGGGTATCACATCTGCTCCTAGTTTAGGATTGTGAGGCTTGATGGCAGCTGGTGGGTGAGCTTAGATCGTGGTGTTCAGGCGGGATGACTTGGATGAGCTTTTCCCTCTTCACTCTTAGGACGCTCATGGAAACCACCACCATCCTTGTGGAAGGCTGCAGGAGGCATCTAGCTGACTTTCCTGCTTTCACTTCTGCCTTCCAGAGGAGCCAGAGTGATTTTTTTTTTTTTTTTAAGATTTTATTTATTTATTTGAAAGAGAGGCAGTGAGAGAGAGCATGAGCGAGGAGAAGGTCAGAGGGAGAAGCAGACTCCCTGTGGAGCTGGGAGCCCATGCAGGACTCGATCCCGGAACTCCGGGATCATGACCTGAGCCGAAAGCAGTCGTCCAACCAACTGAGCCACCCAGGCGTCCTCAGAGTGATTTTTTTAAAAGATGTAATTAGATGACAAATAAATCACATGCCTGCTTTCTGCACTCCAGTGACTCCTAATTGCTCTTCAGCTAAAACCTGGTTTCCTTCCCAGTTCTTCTGGATCTGGCTCGTGCTCTTTCATGATGTGACTTCTGCCTCCTCTGTTTACCACCTCCCACCACGACTTCTGTGGACCTACTCCCTGAGCTCCACCTTCTGCGTCCTTCTCACAGAGCTCCAGTGTCCCAGGCTTCGTCCTGCTACCCTTCCCATTGGAAATTCTCATTACTCACTTTTCCTCATGCCTAGTGATGTAAGATGCCACCTCCTCACTGAGGTGTACCTGAATCTCCCTTCTTCCTCTGCTCCCTGGTCACCTTTAAGGCTCTGGATTCCAGCAGCATCCATCTCTGCCGGTTAGATTCCACACCAGCTCCCAAACCTGTGAAGTTTCTAGAGAATGATTCCAAGGTCATGAATAAATGGATCTTACATTTTTAATGCAGTGATCTCATTCATTGGTAGCCATTCCTTTAACTCAGGGGTTGACAGATTTGGCCTTCCTCCTGTTCACATAGAGCAGCTTTGTCAGGACACAGTCCCACCTGCTGGTGTCTGTGTCTTCTGTGGCTACTTTCGCTCCCCTCGAAGAGACAAGTGGTGGTGGTGGTGTCCACGTGTCCTGCAGAGCATTCCGTATTTCCTGTCCTTTCACTGGGAAAGGTTGCAGATGCCTGCTCCTCACTGGGGGGCTGTATGAAGACATAGGGCAGTTCATTGGAAGAGCTCTTCTAACAAGAAAATGATGCCATTCAGGGTGAGATTGAGAGCATTCCTTTTTCTCTGCAGCTAATGTTCTCTATGGGCCACTCCACACCAAACAGGCCGTGAGCATGTTTCTGGGAGCAGTGGAGGAAGCAAAGAAAGAAGGTGGCACCGTGGTCTATGGTGGCAAGGTAATGACACTGAGCTCAGTAGTGACACATTTTGCTTCCTTAGCATGAGCAGGGCTCTGAGCATATGGGCAAAGGGTCTCCTACTACTGTCTTTGTTTTTCTCCATCATACTTTTATAAGGGGGTAGTCAGTGTTTTGGTGAGTGACAAAGTAAAATGCATGGAACACTTCTGGAGGACACACAGGAAACTCAGGGCCATGGTTGCTTTTGAATTGAGTCCCTGGGATTTTGTATGGAAGGGACACCTCCTTTTCCTGGAATAGTACAGGACTTTGTGTTTAGAACAGTCAGAATCTGTATTTAGTGGGTATTTTTAAAAGGCAGGGTATCAAAAATGGGATACTAGGATGCTATAATAAGCATCTTTGCTGCTAGCATTTTCACCAGAAACATTATTGTTGCTTAACTGATTGGTTATAAAGGCAATTTTGGCATAAAGGGTAATGAAAATAATGAACATAACTGGTTGGCTGGTTGGTTGGTCACTGTGTTGGCCTAATCATTGGGTTGACTGTTAGGTTTCATTTCTCCATTGATGTAGTTTCCCATTTTTATACTATGTATATCTTAGCCCTCGTGATGGTCTGTGCAGTGGTGCAGAGTTTTGAACTCATTTTCCACAGAACTGTGGACTTTGCATTTCCACAGAACCTTGAACTGTCTGTCAACAGATGTGGGAGAACATGCCAAGCGCAAACAAGGCAGAGGCGTTCACAGTGCAGAGCAAAGCTCAATTAGAAATACGCATCCTAGTGTTTGGAAACTGATGCCTCTCTTGACAAAGGAAGAAATTGTAGCAAAAAAAGAAAAAGTATGTCAAGGAGTCAGATCAACAAGCAAGAAAATGTGTAATACTATAAATGAGAGATTTTGAAAACAAGTAATTAGGTACAGTCCACAGAGTCAATTATTTGAATAGTATTGACTAACCTACAGGTTTTTTTTTTTTAAGATTTTGTTTTTTTCAGAGAGGGAGAAAAAGAGCACAAGCAGGGAGAGGTGCAGGAGAGGGAGAAGCAGACTCCTCACTGAGCAGGGAGCCCCACGCTCCCAGGACCAAGATCATAACCTAAGCCTAAGGCAGATACTTAACCAACTGAGCCACCCAGGCCCCCCACTGGGTCCTTTAAGCAATAGAAATTTACTCTGCTCACAGTTCTTGGGGCTGAGTCTAAAGTAGGGTGCTGGCAGGGTTGGTTTCTGGTGAGGCCTCTGTTGCTAGCACACAGACCACGCAGATGCCCACCTTCTCAGTGTCCTCATATGGCCTTTGCCTTGAGTGTGGAGAAAATAGGTCTCTGGTATCTCTTCCTCTTTTTGTAAGGTCTTCAGTTCTTCCAGATTCAGGCCCCACCTGTGTGACCTCTTTTTACTTAATTACTTACTAAAAGCTTCTGTTTCCAGTTTCAGTCACACTGGTGGGGGTTAGGGGATGGGGATATGATACAGTCTTCAAACACAGTATAGTCCTATTTTTACATTATATAAACTTGTTAAAAAGCCACCTATAACTGCTTTTTTTCAGTGTCACTTGGTCGTGTCACCTGTGACAGGTTTTGCTCCTTCACTTCCTTTTCTGTTTTTCTCTGACCAACCGAGACGGAGGTTATTTTTGTTCATGATGGGAAGTTACTTTGGGGAAATGATTCATCTGTATAAATAGTGTTTATTTTTTTTCTCCAAAGTATAGGGAAAGGTTGTGTCCTCTCACCTGAAGTACCAAAAAACAGAACACCTTCATTCTTTCTACTTTATTTCTCTACTGAAGGTCATGGATCGCCCTGGCAATTACGTAGAACCAACAATTGTGACAGGTCTGGCCCACAACGCGTCCATTGCACACACAGAGACGTTTGCTCCGATTCTTTATGTCTTTAAATTCAAGGTAAAAATGGATTCTGTTTCCCATTTCTCGAGTTTGATGTTGAAACACCTCTGACTAAAGCAAATGAGGGTATACGAAATTATACTCTATTAGCCTTTTGGGAGGTCCTGGAAAGTCACTCTGTTAGTAGGAGTTTGAAGGTGAAGAGGAGAGATGAGCATTTTATACTGTAGAGCCTGTCAGGCTCACTGCCAGGGCAACCAAGGCAGCCTGAAGACCAGATTGGATGTGATGGAGAATGGCTGCCTTTGTGTGTCATCTGCTCTGAGCTGTGTAGGCCTTGTGGTTAGCTTCCACATGGAAGGGACCAGATAGTCCCATAGCCTCAGTGCTGAGCATCAGCAGACAAGTGAGAAGCTGCGTGCATTCTTAAGACCTACAGTTGTAACCTGTATCTGTGGACAGCCTGTGGAGGTTTTAGTAGATGGTAAGAGCTGGAGGGTCTCCTTCCCCACCATGAGATAGACTGGAGCCATGCCAGCCAATACTTAGTGATCAAATCAAGGTTTGAATATGCCATGATTAACAGTTTAAGAAAATATTAACAAGAATTATATCTTACTGCAGTTAAAGGATTACTTTTTATTTTTACTTACTTATTTTAAAGATTTTATTTATTTAACACAGAGACAGCGAGAGAGGGAACATAAGCAGGGGGAGTGGGAGAGGGAAAAACAGGCTTCCCCTTAAGCAGGGAGCCTGATGCGGGGCTTGATCCCAGGACTCTGGGATCATGACCAGAGCCTAAGCAGTTGCTTAACTGACTGAGCCGCCCAGGTGCCCCTTAAAGGATTGCTTTTCCAAAAATCTTGATTTAAATCTTCGTCTTGTTTCATGTCTTGTGACAGAGGATAATTTTCATGTTTTGTATTTTGTGTATGTGAGTGAATTCTTGAGTAAATTATTTAGTGTGTCTTGCTTAATCTGTAAATTGGGGGTAATACAAAACCTGTATCATTGGATGAGGATTAAATACTTAAATGTGTGCGGAGTGCTTCGGTCAGTGGGTTGCATATAAGAGGAGCTCAGTAAGTAATAGGTCTTAGATGTAGCAGCTTGAGTGGAAGCATGTCCTCATCTCTGTTTCTCAGTACAATTCAGGGAAAACCCCCACAAAGCTGTGCATGAGAGAAACAGAATTAGTAAGATACTGAGGCTTTAGTTAACTTCTGTGCGTGGAGATTACATTGGTACAGCTCATGAGATGGAGTCTTGTGAATTTTGACGCAATTGCTGCATCCTCTAACAGTTTCCACTGTCCTTTTAGAATGAAGAGGAAGTCTTCGCCTGGAATAACGAAGTAAAACAGGGACTTTCCAGTAGCATCTTTACCAAGGATTTGGGCAGAATCTTCCGCTGGCTTGGGTATAACTTTGTTTTGAGAATTTACATAAGCCTAGTTTGTGTCATGAATGGGCTTAAAAAAAAAGAAAGAAAGAAACCATTGTAGTTGAAAATCCCGTTTTTGAGCATGAAGAGTCTTAGAGGTTTTGTTTGGATTTTTTCAGTTTGTTTTATTTCTTAATTCCTATCTGTTGCTCTCAACCTTGCTTCCCTTTCTACACACAGACCGAAAGGATCAGACTGTGGGATTGTGAACGTCAACATCCCCACAAGCGGGGCTGAGATTGGAGGTGCATTTGGTATGTAGAGAATCCCTTTTCTACGTCTGGGGCAGTTAGATGGTTGGGGTACCATAACAAAATGCCATGGTGTGGGTGGCTTGAACAACAGAAATTGATGTTCTCACAGTTGTGGAGGCTGCAAGTCCAAGGTTAAGGTGTTGGCAGTGCTGGTTTCTCCTGAGGCCCCTCTTTCATGAATTAGGGTCCTTCCATGGCCTTTTCTCCATGCCTGCCTGTACATGCCTGGTGCCTCTTCCTTTCCTTCCTTTCCTTTCCAAAAGGACACCAGTCCTTTTGTTACAGGCCTGCACCTTTGTGATATCTTTCTTTGGCTTATGACTTCATTCAACCTTAATTACCTCTTTAAAAGGATCTTTTGCCAAATACAGCCACATTCTAAGTATTGGAAGTTAGGTTTTCAACATAAGTATTTGGGGAGGGGACACAGTTCAAGCAGCAAAGGAAAAGGAGTAGTAGCTGTTAGAAAAGTTTGACCAAGAAACCGAAATAATAGAACTTGGTAAGAGTCTGGTCTAACATGCTTGAGAGGAGCTTACTGCCGAATTTAGAGTGACGATCCAGAATCTGACTCTTTTTTCTCAAACACTGCATCACATTGGAGCCAGGGCCCTTAGCCTAAGATATGTGACCCCTTGAAGCAGTGACATCTCTTTTTTTGGGAAGACGGTCAGTGACCCAAAGAACATTTAAGAACCCCTGGCTTTAGAGATAAGCCAGATTTTGTCACACAAAAAATTCTGGTTTTTAGTTGCAAAGGGGTGTGGTGTTAAACATTAGTTTTTATTTTAGATAAAACACTAACGTGTTTTCTTCCACTGGGTTCTGCTTGTATTTTCTCTTAATAAGCCTTGAGTTCTTAATGCTTAAATTAAGTAGTAGTTTGTTTTTTTCCTAAAGTCATCCCAACCAGCAGTTGTGTTTTAAGCATTTCAACTAAAAACGAGCGGAAGTATAGTAAAAACAGATTACGTTGTTTATACTTAAGTATACATCTGTATATGTATAGAGCAGAACACACATGTGTTAATACCTCCAACATTGTAAATAATTCGAGGCACTTTTTAGTGTTTTCAGACCAGTGTTTGCTGCACTTACTATTCATTGCATCAGTTTTGAGGAAAGGTTCCTGCTTTCCTTCAGGCTCACCCGTGCACTGTGCTCCTGAGTAGGCTGTGTGCCCCCGGGTCCAGCTCTTCCCCTGCAGGGCTTTAGTGCCTGTTTGTAGCCCACACTTCTTTGTGCACGTGACTCTTACTGCCTGAAGCCCACACAAGTTAATTTTTATTTTTTAAATTTTCTTTAAATATTTTATTTTTATTTATTTATTTGACAGAGAGGCAGGCAGAGAGAGAGAAGAGAGAGAGAGAGGGAAGCAGGCTCCCTATTGAGCAGAGAGCCTGATGAGGAGCTCGATCCCAGGACCCTGAGATCATGACCTGAGCTGAAGGCAGAGGCGTAACACACTGAGCCACCCAGGCGCCCCACAAGTTAATTTGTAAATGGGAAAGGGGGTTCTCCCCCTTTTCTCTTCCAGCTTCATTCCCAGAGGCAGCTACTTGGAAATTACTAAAAGGAAATTTACCTTTGAATTTACTGTACTTTTGTTTTTTGTTTTTGTTTTTAAAGATTTTATTTATTTATTTGACAGACAGAGATCACAAGTAGGCAGAGAGGCAGGCAGAGAGAGAGAGGAGGAAGCAGGCTCCCCGCTGAGCGAGAGCTCGATGCAGGGCTCGATCCCAGGACCCTGAGATCATGACCTGAGCCGAAGGCAGAGGCTTTAACCCACTGAGCCACCCAGGTGCCCCTGTAGTTTTGTTTTGTTTTGTTTTTTATTAGTTTTAAATAATCTCCATCCACCATGGGGTGGACCTCACAGCTCTGTGCCCCCATGCCTCATGATCCCCCGACCGAGCCAGCCAGGCGCCCCTCCTTCAGTCTTTCAAAGTAGTGTGCTTCAGCTGCTTACTCTTCTCCGTTTTAGACATCGTTTGTTGACCCTCTGTTAGCATAGGTGAACCTTCTCTTTTTTTTTTTTTTTTTTAAAGATTTTATTTGTTTATTTGACAGACAGAGACCACAAGTAAGCAGAGAGGCAGGCAGAGAGAGAGGAGGAAGCAGGCTCCCCGCAGAGCAGAAAGCCGATGCAGGGCTCGAACCCAGGACCCTGGGATCATGACCTGAGCTGAAGGCAGAGGCTTTAACCCACTGAGCCACCCAGGTGCCCCCGCATAGGTGAACCTTCTTAAGCCTTGCTCTTCTGGTGTGTGGCATGAGGTTTTGCTGGGTGAGGTCAGGAGGAAACCAGAGGAAGCAACCACGCTTCTGTGTTCTCCCCCTCACAGTCACACAGGATGTGCTTCCTTCTTCCAGCATTGGGTTGGGACGACAAACATGAAATGTCATCTACCAGGAAAACTCAGGAGAGACTCTGCATCCCAGGCTTTTGTTGGAGGCTGGTCGCCGAGGCCTCCTTTCCCTGGCACATACTGAAGCTCCAGACTCCCTGAAGGAAAGGAGGGGTTTCACATAAACCACATTGTACCAGAACAGCTGAAGCCCAGTAAGACACTTCAATCATTGAGGGGCAGTTTACTATCCATGGAGGGCACTCTTCAGCAGCCTGGTTCCTACATGCTGCAGTGTTGCCAGCAGACCTTCTATGCCTGTCCTGCACAGTTTGCAGCAGTTTTTCCTCAGACATTTGAAGTTGTTAATTCATTTGCGTTACGGCGTCTGGTGTCATGGCTGAAGAGCCCAGTACACTTTGATTTCCAATCTCTCTTTTTTTTTTTCCTATTTCAAAAAATACGAGGTTTCCTAGGTTTGAGATCTTTGTAAAAAATTTTCTTAGACATTGGGCCAGTGATTAGCTTTAGAGTATTGGGGCTTATCATTCTCAGTGCTGGGTGTTTTTTTGACAGTTTTTTTCCCTTTCTCTCTCTTCAAGGTTTTATTTATTTAGTGTGTGTGGAGGTAGAGGGGCATAGGGAGAGGGAGAGGGAGAATCTCTACTCCATGCTGAGGCTGACTCGGGACTTAGTCTCACTATCTGGAGATCATGACCTGAGCCAAAACCAAGAGTCAGATGCTTAACTGACTGAGCCAGTGAGGCACCCTCCCCCACCTTTTTTAAAAGTACTTTCTGTACCCAGTTTGAGGCTTAAACTTAAAGCCCTGAGATCAGGAGTCATGTGCTCTATGGACTGAGCCAGCCAGGTGCTGCAATTATTCTCTTTTTCTAATGACTAGAACTATTATTTGAATAATATCTTACCTCCTTAAGAATCATCTAATTTTGTTATCTTTTCCCTTCTATTTTCCATCTTTTTTTTAAAAATATGGGCAATTTCCTCAGATTTTCACATATTTTGATTTTTGTAAAAATATCTATTTATTTTAGAGAGTACACGTGTACTGGGTGAAGGGCAGAGGGAGAGGGAGAGAGAGATTCTCAAGGAGACTCCCTGCTGAGCACAGAGCCCAACACAGGGCTCTATCTCAACACCTTGAGATCATGACCTGAGCCAAAAATCAAGAGTTGGATGCTTAACTGGCAGATCTATCCAGGTGCCCATAGGATTTTATTTTTAAGTAATCTCTATCCCCAGCGTGGGTCTTGAACTCATAATCCTGAGATCGGGAATCAAACACTCCACCGACTGAGCCAGCTGGATACCTGCTCAGATCTTTCTTGTAGCTCTTTTGTTGAAGTGTTTTCTCCTCTGCTGTTACTAAAAACACTACCAAGACTTATTTCTTGTGCTTTGATAGCACACTTGTACATAATACCCTTCTCTTATTTTATGGAATCATTACCTTTTTATGTTATAAGGATATTAATGTAACATTTCAGAATATTGTAAAAGCCATGTATAGTTGTTACTGAAAATTATATATAGCTGAGCTTAAGTGTGAAATTATATTTCCACTGTCCAGAAATTTTCCATCTTAATATCTGGTCCAGTGGTAAGGTTAGTTTTTTTTTTTTTTTCTTTTGGGAAATTTTTTTCCCCTTTTTGCCTTTTTTGTTTTCTCCCCCCCCCCCCCCCCCCCCCCGGCCGCCTTAGTTTTTTTTTGCTGTTTATTTGGTTTCTTGTCTTTTTTAATTTTTTTTTTTAAAGATTTTATTTATGTATTTGACAGAGAGAGAGATCACAAGTAGGCAGAGAGGCAGGCAGAGAAAGAGGCGGGGAGCAGGCTCCCTGCTGAGCAGGGAGCCCGATGTGGGGCTTGATCCCAGGACCCTGGGATCACGACCTGAGCTGAAAGCAGGGGCTTAACCCACTGAGCCACCCAGGTGCCCCTCTTATCTTTTTTATAGAGAAGGCATATACTCTGAGCTAAATGTGAACTCATTGGTCTGGTAGCTCTAGTCTCCTTTTGGTGTATTTCTCTCCATGCTACCAAGTAGGTGCTGTACCCAGAAAAACTGCTCATGATTTGTGAGCTTCTTGTGTATTTCTCTAGGAGGAGAAAAGCACACTGGAGGTGGCCGGGAGTCTGGTAGCGATGCCTGGAAACAGTACATGAGAAGATCCACTTGGTAAGAAAAGGCTTTTCGAGGGTGGGTTTGAGCTTTGTGCCATTGGAACGTGCTTTTCTGCTTTTCTATTGTATGCTCTTTCTTCGTACTGCTTCACTTCAGTTTGGTTTTGTAATGAAGCGCAGCTGTCCCCTCCCACGGCATCTAGCCTGTACTGTTACTTGTCTTCCTCAGCTAGTGCCCAGGGCTCGACCGTGAAACCATCTCAGTTGTGGTTTCTGTTTGGAGACACCAGAAGAGCAGGACATTGGAGGGTCAGCCGGTAGGAGAAAGTGGGAGAAGCTGTACTTGCGGTTTCTCCTTGGGTATGGCCACCACCCCTGTAGGTGGTAGGGGCAGCAGCAGAGGGGAAGTGTGCAGGGCCCTTGCAGGCCAGAATAGTGAGCATGGCTCTTGACAGTGCCTTAGCTTGTTTACCCAGCACACACTGGTGGCTGGTGCCGGAGCCTGCTTCAGGGAGGATTTTACTAGGAGTTGGTTCTTCTACTTGTATGCTATTTTTTATTTTTTTGTATGTTTTTTAAAAACTTATTTTGGGGGGCGGAGGGTACACGAGCTGGGGGAGGAGCAGAGTGAGGAGAGAGAGAGTCTCCAGCAGATTGCAGCTGACCACAGAGCCCAGTGTGGGGCTGGATCTCATGACCCCGAGATCCCAACCTGAGCCGAAATCAAGAGTTGGACACTTGACCAACTGAGCCACCCAAGCACCCTGCTTGTATGATGTTTTTTCTCTCCCTTAGATAGAAATGATTTTACCACGTGTATTAAAACAGTATGTGGGTCAGGCCCATGTGATATAGCAGAGCAGAGGTTGAGGATCCCAGGATGCTCCTCTTGGTCTCATTTATTGCTTCTCACTAGCCCTCTAACATCAGGTGGATTCTCAACCTTAGTCCCGTAGAGCTTCAGTGACATGATGTCTGTCTGGAAATTCTGAGGAGCTTTCGGCTGTGCTTTAAGTCTCAGACACATGCACCCTCTCCTGGTTCCCATTCTTTGTTGTGGGTTTTGTTTCCTGGTACCTGTTCTTCAAAGTCAGTTATGTTCCTTTTACTTTTGTTGTGCACCTGAGATTTAGAGTGGATCCCCATATTGTGCCCCAAAGACTATGAATAATGTATTTGAAAGGTGTTTTTCCAGATTCTGTTCTCTCCTTTGTCTTTTTTCTCTCATTAAACTGGATCTGTACCAACCTTGTTTTGTATCTTAACTTTTTTTCTTTACCAACTTGTATCTTGGGACATTTCACCTTGTTATATACACAGATGTGCTAGGTTTTCTTAATGACATTAAATAGTCTATATTATGTATATACTGCCCTTCATTGATTTTTTTTTTTTTTCCTTCTAGTACCATCAACTATAGTAAGGACCTTCCTCTGGCTCAAGGAATCAAGTTTCAGTAAAGGTGACAGTAAATTGATATTACTTCAGATCATATAGGTATTCTTGGACCTCTTTCTTCTGAAGAAGATGAAGGAAGTTAAGATTTTTCCTGAATAAATGCATCATTTTGATTATGACGGTGGCTAGTCTCTTAACCCTAGGCCCCACTTAAATCAAGAGACTTAATTTTTTAAAAAATAAAACTAAATTGTCATGATACAGCCATATTTAGTAAAAGGTAGGATGAATTTTTTACTAGTAGTTCATGAATTCCTGAATTTTTTATTACAGTTTTTTTTAAAAAAGGAGTAGATGCAATAGGAGGAAATTGGAAAAACACAGAATAGAAAAGGGAAGAAAATAGAAGTCTCGGTAGATGCAGGAACATCTGAGTGTGAGTAGAGATTGCTTTAGTGAGTATTGACTGACATGAGCCTCTAGCGCATGTTTGCAGGGAGTGTGTTTGTGTTCCTTGCCTGTAGATTAGCACAGAACAGCATCGATGTGGTATGACTTGCTGTGTTTGAAATGACTAAGGGTGTTCATCACCATTATGGCTTCTCTTGCTCGTACTGGCTTTGTGTCACCACAAAAAACATACAGCACAGTGGACATAGGTTTTGCACCTGCGTGTGTTTATGGAGAGTATCATCTGGGTTTCTTATACAATCTTAGGGCATTTTCTTTATAACTATTATATTTGTGCGGTTGCCCTTGGATTTGTTCTGGGAGAATGACCACTATGTGTGTGGCAGCATGTGGTTTTTGTGAAAGGAGGAAAGAAAGAAAGTAGAACTTGCAAAGGAGAATCTGCTTCCTTCTCTTGGGAAACTGAGCCCTTTGGAGTGGTTCATTTCAGCCCAAGGTTGCCTGTTGAGCCCACATTGGCTCTTGAAGGTCTCCTGTCTTCCTGGCCATCTATACTGCCCGGTTGGGTTAGACCTGGGTAGAAGCCTTCCAAGAAGATTGTATTTGTAGGTAATCGGATGCATTAGGATATATGGAGAGATTTGGACAACTGGTAAAGACTGGGTTGAGTTATGACAAAGAAGTAAGCAAATGAAAAAAATGAAGCAATTGAAAATTTATCAGGGTGGGAAAGGTATTCATATTATGTCCTAGAAGTAAGAAATAGTAACAAAGGTTGATGGAGGTAGGGAGGTAAATTCTGAAAGAAGCATTGTCGCAGAAGGGCAAGTGGGAGGTCAGGTATGGAGATAGGAGGGATGGCTATTTCTCAGAACATGTCTTAGAGAACTGTTTGATTCTTCAAGTCAAGAAAATATATAACTGTGATAAAAATTAAAACCCACAAAAAAAAAATGATGTTGGAGAATGAGGTGCTTGGAATCATTCATTTCCAGACCTTCTTTCCTCCATCCCCATGCCCAGAGCACACACACACCCTTGTATGTACTCTCTATTGTACACACACTTGTACTCTCTATTGACCCAGGTCACCTTGAAACATCTCATGAAATGATCCTACTGAAGACCAAGTTTTCTCCATTTTTTAAAGTTTATCATAGACTGGATTATGCCATATTGCGATATCTTTCCTTTTAAAATAAGTGGTTCCTTAAGAAGATCATGGAATTTGCACATTAACTTCAAAAATCTTGCTATGGCTTTGTTTTGCCCCCTTTTTTTTTTTTTTTTTTTAGGTCTCATTGTTTAAGTATTTTAGCCCTGTCTTAGGGACTATAGTCCTATCTGAAGAAAGTAAAGCACCATTTAAAACACTTTTAGGAATCACATACTGATAGGCCATTATTATTTTGTGAAATTGTTCAAGGTGATTTTTGATTGAAATATTTTCTTATATCCTTGGTTTTCCCAGCATATTATTTTTAAACAAATGTTTTAAGATATAAGCTATATCACTGTGTTTGTTTTAACTTAAAGTTTTTTACATTTATAATTTCTTTCTTTTAGGTTTTTAAGAAGGCTGTCCATCCTCCTGTGTACCTGGTAAAGTCATAATACGGTGGCCAATTTTCTAGCATGCTGGGGTGACTGGCAGATCTAGTCTTAACAAACAGAAATTGAATAAAATTGATTGATTGCCTTTTTTTTTTTGAGACTAATTCGTAATTTTTCTACATGTTTCTAATAATTATGAGAACCTATTTTTGTCATAATGCTTATTATTAAAAACTTTCCACTACAGTTGTCCCTCTCTGTTCTTTTTTAGCGAATCAAAAAATAAACATCGCTTATTAGTATTTTTAACCAAGGAAGTTGAAATGCACATTTGTGTGTGGTGTTAGGGTTGTGTATTTTAAGGCGCTAGGGGCCCTGTACTGCTTCTTGTGATCACTGTTTCCGTCGAGCACCTCCTGACTGCTTGCATCTGGTACTGTAGCCATATTGCCATTTCCCAGCCCCCGTTGGGAGCTGTGGTCAGCATGCCAGCCTCACCGCTACAGTGAACCCTAAGTGTCTTGGCATCTTCCTGTACTTCTGCAGTCTCTGGAGAGAGTATCCTAGGCTGACCCTAGGATCCTGACTCTTGGAGTTCCATAGGCAGGCATTGGAATACTTGATTTTCCTGGCCTCCATTTTGCGAGGCAAGCACTCATGATGAAGACCTCACACAATAGAGATGAGGCAGTTTTCTCAAAGGAAATAAGGATGCTGTTACTTTTTTCTCTTCTCTCTTCAATGCTGTGCAACTACATAATCTTCTTAATGGCATTCTTTGTCCCTGGTAATGCTGAAGGGTTTGAGGAGTCCGTGTGCTTGCTCCTCTCTCCTTCCCTAGCACTTCAGATCTTTTCTCCTATTGGCTTTGCTGTGATTTTATTTATCTGCCTATTTGCTATAGACATTTGCACTGGTAACTGTTCGCAATTTCTACCCTTTTCACACTTCTCTTGTCTTGCACTTAGCTGCTCCTGTTTGGTTTTCTTCTAGGTGTTTGTTGGCCTTAAAGGTTTTTAAGGGGATGTATGATGACATTAGGTGCCACAGCATTTGAGTCCCAGAAAGTGTTGATACGTTCTGATGCACTGAAGTTTTGGAGTTCTAACGCAATCAAATCTGTTGAATTTTTTAAAATCGTTTTAAGTAGTCTGTGTACCCAAGGGGGCTCAAACTTCATAACTCCAAGAACAAGAGACATGCTCTACTGACTGAGCCAGCTAGATGCCCCAAATCTCTTGATCTTTTTCCACTTTAAGTTTAGAAAGCTAGGTTATAAATTTTTCCTCTGCTTTTTTTTGTTTGTTAAGTGTATTTTAAATACTTGTACACAGTTAAAAATACAATGAGCCTAGAATGCTTAAAACACTGGTCCCTCCTCTTCTCCCCCCCACACTTTACTGGAACGACCATCCTCACCTTTTTTGCTGTTGCTTATTCCTAAGTAATAAGCTCCTACTGTGATTTTTCAGTAAATCAGTTCAGATATTAAATGCAGAGTTCTCAGTGCAGTAGGTGAGGATTAACTTTTTTATTAGCATTTCCGCAGACATAAAGTTGCTTTCCCTGCATTCCTCTCATCTCTTCATACATACTGTGTACGTGAAGTCTAGTCATAGTCTATTACGACTGTGCAAGAGGCAACAAATCATGCCTGCTTTCTTATCTTGTCTTTGTCCTGGAGTTTGTAATTGCCCTTATTGCTTAATGTGCTCTGCATCTGTTTTTTTTGTTTGTTTGTTTTGTTTTGTTTTTCTAATTGTGTTAAACTACGTCATAACCATTTTTGAAGTGTGCACCTCAGTGGCATTTGGTACATTCACTCATTGGTGCAGCAGTCACCACTGACTGGTTCCAGAACATTTTTATCATCCCCAGAGGAAACCCCATTACCCATTGACCAGTACTCTCCCCTTTTCACCCTATTCTCCAGTCCCTATTGTCAACCAGTCTGCTTTTGTCTCTGGGCTTGCCTATTCTGGATATTTCATAAAAATAGACCATTACTCATTATTTCAAAATGCCTGGATTCTGTCACATGCCTATTAATATTTTCCAGTTACTCAGTTTTTTTCTTCCTGGGATCCCCTGTCTCAGTGATCTTTGTTCTCTGCTTCAGTGAGATGGGCTGCTCTTGGCTAGCATACAAGATTTCTTCTTCCTTTGCTGCTCTTCTGCATTGGAGACTCTCGATCTTCCTGGCTCCCATGTATTTTGTCCGATTGCTTTATACTCTAGTCTTGCTGGAGCACATCCTGTGGGAACTTCCCAACTGGTAATTTTGGAGATAGTTTTTTGTTATGTTTTTGTTTTTATTTTTAGAGAGGAGAATTTTTTTTTTAAGATTTTATTTATTTATTTGACAGAGAGAGAGATCACAAGTAGGCAGAGATGCAGGCCGGCAGTGGGGGGGGGAGCAGGCTCCCTGCTGAGCACAGATTCCCAATGCGGGGCTTGTTCCCAGGACCCTGAGACCATGACCTGAGCCGAAGGCAGAGGCTTTACCCACTGAGCCACCCAGGTGCCCCAAGAGAAGTTTTTCTTTTTTTTAAAGATTTTTATTTATTTGAGAGAGAGCAGAGAGCCTGAGTGGGGGCGGGGGGAGAAGGAGAAGCAGACTCCCCGCTGAGCAGAGAGCCCAATGCCAGGCTTAATCCCAGGACCTGGGATCATGACCTGAGCCAAAGGCAGAGGCTTAACCCACTAAGCCAGCCAGGCATCCCTTGGAGGCAGTTTTTGCAGAATCTTGGGAAGGGCATTCCCCATATTGAATGGAAGGTTCAGTCTAGTGTTCTGGGTTAAAAATACAGAGACTTTTTTTTTCCCCCATTGGAAAAGGCCCATAAATATTTTTGTGGGATTGGCCTATCGGCGTTTAATCCATTTGGCCTTAGGGTGTATGTTATGACTTGATCTAAATTGATTTCCCCTTCAGATATTTAGTACTCCTCCCCCCCCTCAGATTTCATGAATGAATTTCCCTTTCCTCACTGTTGCCTTTTATAATAATGATACATTTAATTCTTGTGGCCTTTATCTAATTTTAGAGGAGGAGAGCGTGGAAGGAGGGGCAAAGGGAGAGAATCTCAAGCAGGCCCCAGAGCCCACCCAGTGCAGAGACCAAGGTCTGGCTTGATCTCTACCCTGAGATTGTGCATGACCTGAGTTGAAATCAAGAGTCGGTTGCTTAATTGACTGAGCCATCCAGGTGCCCAATTCTTGCTGTGGCCAGGCCTTTAAATTCCTGTTATTAAAGGGTTTTTTTTTTATTTGTAGAGTCCCATACAGATAACCCGTGTGACCTTCAGCAAGCCGCTAACCTATTTGAACTTAATTTTCTTAACTATAATCTGGGGTCCGCCAGTTTGGCTGCTTTGCTATAAGCTGCAGAAAACAATTTTGCCTTTAGCAAAAATTAGAAAGGATGGTGGTCACACTCACTTTGCTCCTGCAGATTCATTTTCCAACATTGTCCTGGCAGTGTGTCTTTCAGGGCTGACCTCTGGGCTCCTTCACCTGGGCTTTCTTTGTGTTCTGGTTTTTGACTGTTTGGCTAGTGGTAGAAAATCAAAGCTTAGAGGTCAGAGTATCCATTTCCCCACTCTCTGCCAGCCTTTGCTAGTTACTCTCAGTGGTTTAATCCTATTTCTGTGACTACAGACCTTGTCGTGTCCCCTCTACTGTGGTGACACAGGATTCTGGCAACACCGTACCTATTTCTTGCCCTCCGTTCTCCAGGTGCAAACGGCATTGTGTTGATGCTTCGTGGGTTTATCACCTTCCTCAATTCCTTATTCCCCAGACATAGCTGGGAAGCAGATAATGAACTGTCCTGTCATTCTGCCAGAATGAATGAACTTCAACTGTTTGGGGGCCTTTTATGTCCTTTACTAAAAATTAAAATCTTGGGGCGCCCGGGTGGCTCAGTGGGTTAAGACTCTGCCTTTGGCTTAAGTCATCATCTCAGGGTCCTGGGATTGAGCCCCACATCGGGCTCTTGGCTCAGCAGGGAGCCTGCTTCTCCCTCTCTCTTTGCCTGCCTCTCTGCCTACTGGTAATCTCTGTCTTGTCTAATAAATAAATAAGATCTTTAAAAAAAAAAAACTAAAATATTGAAGCAGCAGGCGGTTGGGTTGGCGTGGATCCTTTGCCTGTCAGGTATGTGACCTGCTCGTTGTTTTGAGGAAGAGCATAATCACTGTGTTAATCGAATGCTAAAATCAAGAAAGCATAATTCCCAGGATTTGGAAATAATGATATTATCCTGGAATGAAATGTGGGTGATGGTCTGCTAAAATAATATGTTCTATTCAACAGGGCGGTAATACCTGCCATAATTTTTAAGGAAATAAAAGAAATAACACTGCTTGGCACATGGTGAGGGCTCCATAGATATTGACTGCTATTATTAGAGTGTTTTCCATATTTTCCTAAAAGAAACGTAGAAGGATATTTCATGTTTTTGAGAAGGGATGTTCTGGGGGGCTTTTCGTTGGAACTAAATTTATCAATAAAATAGAGAACAACTTCGTAGTACTCAGATTTTATTGATCTTGTTTTTGTTTTTTTTTAAGATTTTATTTATTTATTTGACAGAGATCACAAGTATGCAGAGAGGCAGGCAGATAGAGAGAGAGAGAGAAGCAGGCTCCTGCTGAGCAGAGAGCCCGATGCGGGACTCGATCCCAGGACCCTGAGATCATGACCTGAGCCAAAGGCAGAGGCTTTAACCCACTGAGCCACCCAGGTGCCTTTTTTTTTTTTTTTTTAAAGATTTTATTTATTTATCTGACAGAGATCACAGTTGGGAAAGAGGCAGGCAGAGAGAGAGAGGAGAAAGCAGGCTCCCTGCTGAGCAGAGAGCCCAATGCAGGACTCGATCCCAGGACCCTGAGATCATGACCTGAGCCGAAGGCAGAGGCTTTAACCCACTGAGCCACCCAGGCGATCTTGTTATGTATATGTTTGTTCAAATATTTATGACTCCTCACAAAATTTTGCAATGCATTTCATCTGTCTTTTAAGTTTATTCCTATATATTTTAAGATTCCAGTTGTGGGTGAGATTTCCCTTTCCTTATGTGTAAGTTACTACATAGAAATTGACTTTCTAAGGTGGATTAGGTTTGAAAATGGAAACATGGGGGCATCTGGGTGGCTCAGTCCGTTAAGGGTCTGCCTTCAGCTCAGGACGTGATTCCGGGGTCCTGGGTTCGAGCCCCACATGGGGCTTCCTGCTCAGTGGGGAGTCTGCTGCTCCCTCTCTCTCTGTCCTTCCCCTGCTTGTGCATGCGTGTGCTCTCTCTCTCTCTGTCAGATAAATTAAGTCTTTATTTTAAAAAATGGAAACACAGGGGCACCTGGGTGGCTCAGTGGGTTAAAGCCTCTGCCTTCGGCTCAGGTCATGATTTCAGGGTCCTGGGATCAAGCCCTGCGTCGGGCTCTCTGCTCAGCAGGGAGCCTGCTTCCCTGTCTCTCTCTGCCTGTCTCTCTGCCTACTTGTGATCTCTCTCTCTCTGTCAAATAAATAAAATCTTAAAAAAAAAAAAACTGCCTATAAAAAATGGAAACACGGATCCTGTCAGTACTTTACATTTGCTCTTGGCTGGTGAAGGTCTTTAACCCCTCAACTCTAGAGTTGGGGAGGTTTGACCAGGATTCATACTATGGAGTTGTCTTTACGGTGTTGGGCTGTAGGTGGCGCTGCTGCTCAGAGCAAATGCCTAAGTTTGGCAGGGAAGGAAGTTGTTTAGACTGTCGTATCCAGGAGGTCACCATGGAAAAGGTTTTGTATTCTGAAGACAGATGTGCTAAGCACCATGCCCTGCTTGTATGAGATGCTTTACATTCCAGCACCATTGGTAAACCACATTTCCTACCTCTGGTCGGCTAACGACACATCACCTGAGCTTCCGTGGGTGATTGACTTTGGGTAAAATCTAAGCACCGGAATGTCGGTGAAAAAATAGTATTTGGGCTGTAATTGCACAGGAGTATCTTTTGTTTTAAGTTAAGAAACATTATTAAGTTTCATTTTCCATCCACTCCCCGTCTGTCTCTCAGTGGAGCCTATGTGTGAGGTTACTCCAGTTTGAACTACTCCAGGGGACATTTTATTTCTTTTACTTACACTTTTATGATACTTACTATGTTCCAGGCACTTTTCAAAGCACTTAACAAATAGAAACCTGTTTAATTCTCATAACAAGTTATGAAATAGGTCCTCTGATAATCCACATTTTATTAACATGGAAATGGAGGAACAGGGGGGTTGAGTAACTTTTCCCCAAGTCTACCAGGTGATAAATGGTGGGGGTGAAATTTGAACCCAAGCATTCTGGCTTCAGAGTTAGTAGTGCTCTAGTAACGAGTCATCTAAAATTAATGCTCTCCTTCCTTGCCTACCTCTTTTTAATCGCTGTCCCTTCATTTTTTCTTACATGATTTTATTTATTTTTTATTTTGATATTATCACAAACTTCAAAATTGGAGTACAATACAAAGAACTTCTTTCCCCTTCACTATTTGAGACTATGTAGTTGACCCCTCCCATCACCCCAAATCCTTGAGTGTATATTTCTTACAAACGACATTTTCCTATGTAACTGTTACACACCATCAAAATCAGGGAACTACTGATATATTACATCTTGTTCTCAGATACTGTTCAACTTTAGCCCCTTGTATCAGTAATCTCTTTTATACCAAAAGGAGCTGTGTTATTCTAACTACTTTTTCTTTGGGTTTTTTTTTTTTTTTTTGGCTTTTATAACCAGGACTTTTTTTTTTTTTTTAAGATTTTACTAATTTGAGAGGAAGAGCACAGAAGGAGAAGCAGATTCCCACTGAGCAGAGAGCCCCACATGGGGCTCAATTGTGGGACCCTGAGATTATGACTGGAGCTGAAGATAGGCACTTGACTGACTGAGCCACCCAACTGCCCCAACCATGACACTTTAGAAATTACAGCTTACTTGGTAGAATGCCCCTGAACTTGATGTTTGCTCATGAGAATATTCGGGTTTAAGGTTTGTGTTGTAAGGGGCGACTAGGTGGCTCAGTGAGTTAAGCATCTGCTTTGGCTCAGATCATGATCTCAGGGTCCTGGAATTAAGCCCCACATTGGGCTCCCTGCTCAGCAGGGCGTCTGCTTCTCCCTCTGCTTCTCCCCCTGCTCATGCACTCTCTCTCTTGCACACAAATAAGTAGAATCATACAAAAAAACTGTGGTAGAGCAATACAATCACAGAAGTGATGCTGTGTTTGCCTCACTGCATCTTTTTTTTTAAATTACTTTTATTAACATGTAATGTATTATTTGCCGCAGGGGTACAGGTCTGTGAATCGTCAGGCTTACACAGTTCACAGCACTCACCATATCACATACCCTCCCCAATGTCCATAACCCAGCCACCCTCTCCATACCCCTCTCGCCCCAGCAACCCTCTGTTTTGTGAGATTAAGAGTCTCTTATGGTTTGTCTCCCTCCCAGTCCGATCTTATTTCATTTTTTTTCCTTTCCTACCCCCACAACCCGCTGCCCTGCCTCTCAAATTCCTGATATCAGGGAAGTCATATAATTGTCTTTCTCTGATTGACTTATTTTGCTCAACATAATACCCTCCAGTTCATCCATGCTGTTGCAAATGGCAAGATTTCATTTCTTTTGATGGCTGCCCAATACTCCATTGTACATATATGCCACATCTTCTTTATCCATTCATCTGTTGATGGACATCTAGGTTCTTTTCCATAGTTTGGCTATTGTGGACATTGCTGCTGTAAACATTCGGGTGCACGTGCCCTTTTGGATCACTACATTTGTATCTTGGGGTAAATACCCAGTAGTGGCCTCACTGCATCTTAATAGGTGGGGTGTGGTTGCCATTTGTCTATTACAGAGGATGTTCATGTAGCTCTCACAGGGTGTTGTCTGCTGGCATTCTCCATTGTAAAACATTTCTTTTATCCTTTGTTCATTCAAAGTACCTTCGTGGGGAGGTACTTTGAAACTATGTACGCGGCCTGTTTTTCTCTCAGATTTTATGTTTATTTACTTGCATTTGTATGTTTTTATGTTTTCCTCTTTTAGCCAATAAGTTACATGCTCAGAATAAATTTTGATACCTGATTTGGCCAGCAGGATACCTGTGAAACTAGCTTCTGTGTTCTCTTGATGTGTTCTCATTCTTCTTCAGTCCCTGCCTTCCTTTTTGAAGCCAGATGTTCTGGGTGGTTCTTGTAGTTACCTGCCCCAGCCCTGGAATCAGCCATTTTCTCAAGCCATTTAGTCAAAAATCCTATTTAGAAGCCAAGACGTATCAACATGAAGATTTCAGTGCTGACAGGTCCTCACAGTGGACAGAGTTGGGAAATAAACGGACGTACAACCTTTCTACATCTGGACAACCATGAGGTCACATCAGAACTTCACAAATCCAATCCAACATCACAGTGCTTGTTCGTTTTTCGCCCTTCCAGGATTTGCTGCTTTTGTCTCTGATAGTTAGAAACCTGCTTCCTAGGACCCTCGATCCTTGTTCTGGTTGATTTCACCAATCCCCTCTTCCCCCAAGGACACCCTGCTCACCTCATCCTGGTTCTCAGGGTGCTGGACTTGCCCTCACCATGGACGTCTTCCTCACCCAGCTCAGCCTGAGACACCTACCCACAGCTACCTCCCACATGAGGACATCCTTTTTACCCATCGAATGGCTTTAGGATTGCACTGTTGAGGAAGAGAGACAAAGAGGACCGGACCTCTTCTTAAATGTGCAGTTTCAATTCTAATTCCAAATGGTATTTAGGTGACCCCCACCCTGCCTGGGGCTTCAGCTGGATGAACAGGGAGGTAAGCTCTGGAAGCAGAAGGTCCATGTCTAGGGACAGCTCTGTTTCTAGTGGGGTGAAGGCTCTGAGGAATCCCCTGATCTCTGGCCCTAACTCTTGCGTGTGAAGTGAATAGGCTGGAAAATAGTGCCTTGTGGGCCAGAATTGGCCCAGTACCTGTTTTGGTTGGAATTTAGCTTTTATAAAACTCAAATTAAAATTTTTTGAAAACATAGGTGATGTGCTCTAATTTACCGCGGTTGGCCACAACCGTGATCTTACCCAGCTTCATACATTTTCTTCCCTCCCAGAGGCTCAGTGGCTTTATTCTTTCAGCTCTGATGAATTAGGCATACTTCAAAAAGCCCTTGGCTAAGCACAGGTTTTCCACCAAGAGTGAGAAGTTTACCTAGACTTAAGTCGGGACCCTGGCATTATTAAGGATGTTATTTTAGCTGCTTGAGCAGAGACTGCAGAGAAGAAAGGCTAAACAGAATAGTTTTCTCTGATTTTAAGAGTTCAGATGTAAATAGTCCGGTGTGGGTCAGTGACCCACAGGGTCCAGGCCTTCGACTTCTTTGTTGTTCCGCATAGTGAAAGGTGGGTCATTGCCACGTCACATTTCAGCTCGTTAGGGTAAGGAAGGCTCTCTTCCGTTGAAGCGTGTGACCCAGAAACTGCACATGTCCTCTCCACCCACATTACAGAAGTAGACCTTAATCACACAGCAGACACAACCAATGAGAGGTTGAGAAACCTTTAATTCCTTTTTTTTTTTTCCTTAAAGTAATCACTATGCTTTAACTCCCCACCCTGAGATCAAAGGTTGCACACTCTACTGACTCAGACAGCCAGGCGCCCCCAGACCTTTATTCTCGGGACCCAGATAGCCAGCCAGTCAAAACGTGGGTATGGCATTATGTTGAGAGGACAGAAGGGATATTGGAAAATTACGCCTTCCAACTCCGTGTTTATTAAAAGACTCCCCTCTGCTTACTGTCTGGAATATTCTCTGTCCCATGTCCTTTTGCTGCTTTATGTGGATACTCTGCCAATTAAGAATGCATTTAGATTCTGTCTTCATCCCTGAGGGCTTTCCATCCTTTATCCTTTAGTAGGAAGTGGAGGGGGTGAGCTTCCCAAAGCAGCTGATGAGGGAACTTTCGAAGTTGGTTAGGAAAGAGCAGAAGGTGGAACAGAGAAGCCTGGACAGGTCAGACACTGGGACCAGGGTTGGCAGAGGTGGGTGGGAAACCCTGTGGGAACACCAGGTTGAAGAGAAAGAGCAAACCCTGGGAGAAGGTGGTGCTGGTAAAAGAGGAGTAGGAAATAGAAGGGAACCCAGGAACCAGGACATGAGCTTCCACTAGTGTGGCCTCTTTGCTCCATTTTCTGCTCTGGAGCTCAGTGGATTCATAATCCGTCACAATGGGGATTTCAGAAGGGCTAGAGTTGATTCCACATCTCTTCTAGGACTCACTGTCTCCTGTAAAATGGGCACAATTTTCCTTTCAGGCTGCATTTCCCAACACTATCATGAAATACAGATACACAGTCAAATAGGCAAATTGTGTGTACAACGTCTAATAGAAAGATGATATTGAGAGACGTGGTAAAACTCTCTACATTCTGTGGAATTCATCGAGGCCTGGGCGGACCCAGGGGGCTGGATTTAGTTAAGACGGGGTCACCCTGATTGAAAGGTCATTCCTACAGCAGACAGGATCTAGGAGAGAGGGCATGGTCTGGACGGGCTGGGACCCTCTTTGTCCGGTTCAGGACCTGGGCTTCAGAGTAGTTACCTGTCTGGGAAGGTAGAGAAGAACATGAGCATGTCTCAGGTGTATAGTCAGAAACACCTTAGGCTGGGCAATGGCATTGTGGTGGGATCTCCAGAGCTGCCTCTGATGGGCGTGGCAGCCCAAGGAGTGTGGCTTGAACTCCTGATGTTGGACTGCTCTGAGCCAAGTAGCCATAGAACTGGTCATCTCTGCTCCTGACCTGGTTTGAGGCAGTGGACACATATTCGCTTGGTTGGCTTTTAGCTGTGAAAATTTCCTGTGTGGAATGAGGAGATATTTTGCATTTCATAGTGTGTCATCTGAATGTGTGGTCAGCCTGAGGACATTCCGCTGGGAGCCAGGAGGGTGAGGTTTGCTCACAGACTCAGACCGTGCACGTGAGAGAAGCCTTGCCTCTGTACTTTTTCAGAGCCAAAGTGTCACATTGCCTTCTCTGGGGATAGTGTGAAGGGGACTGCGTCCCAGGGGATGCATCTTGTATTTTGTACTGCAGCTTGGAGAATCAGTTTTTCATTTTATATTATATTCCTGAGTATTAATAGCTTTAATTTTATTTAATTTTATTATTTTTAAAGATTTTATTTATTTCTTTGACAGACAGAGATCACAAGTAGGCAGAGAAGCAGGCAGAGAGAGAGGAGGAAGCAGGCTCCCTGCTGAGCAGAGAGCCCGATGCGGGACTTGATCCCAGGACCCTGGGATCATGACCTGAGCCGAAGGCAGAGGCTTTAACCCACTGAGCCACAGAGGCGCCCCAATAGCTTTAATTTTAAAATACGACAAACTATTTTAGAAATAAGATGATTAACTGAAAAGTTTTTTTCTTGCCTTGAAGTAATGACCTGTTCCAACTTAAAAAATTAGGCAAGATCATTGTGGTGTTTCTGTGGTGTTTTTAACCCTGACTCCAGATGCCCAAAGAGTGATCGAATGATTTTAATCTCCTGAGATGGAAAAGAATCTTTAAAGAAAAAGTATCAGGACATTTCTATAATCTGTAGGCTATAGATTCTACATCAAATGACTTGAATTTTTAGTCTCATAGTTTGCTCTATGCAAGGAGTCGGACAACGTAAGACATTTTCCCAACTCTGCCTCCCTCTGCCATTCTCGGCTGCCAAGTAAATGACAGATTATTGTAGTAATTTCTGTGAGCTCAGGTAAGCTGAGAGCCTCCCAGCCTCATTCCCCATTTGTATTTTTTGACCTCTGCACATTTAACTATGACTTTCTCATGATCACACGGCCTCTGTTCTTCCTTGAGGGATCTTGTAGTATTCTTGCTTATAGAACAGAGCCATGCGGGTTGCAGGTGGTGCGGCCTTCCCAGCAGCTCTCTCCACTCTGGCTTCCAGAACTTCCACACTACAAGAGGACAGGTGTCCCACCATTAAGATTTTACCATCCATGTGCCTCTCAGGGTAAGTGGCTGGAGTCATCCTTGTCTTGCATCTTTATAAATAACCTCATCAGTATGTCATTTCCTCTCTCCCCCAACAGAATGCTTCTCTGTAACATGGTTTCTGTGAAGTGGGCAAAAGCCTAATTGTTCCCTCAGAGTTGCCTAAATGACTTGAAGGGCTTGAATTTTTAGTAGCTTACAGAAAGAATAGGGGCTTTCTAACTGGTCCAAGCATTCCCTCCAGCGAAGGCTCCCTGGCTGACCTGTTTACCATCAAGCAACATAGTGCCAGCTGCGCTGTGACTCATAATCATTACAGGAAATTTGCTTTAGGATTTTTCTTACACTTACAAGATCTACTTCTGGTTCATTGTTACTTCTTTTGTGAGTATCCCTTAACAATAAGGAAGGTTACAGAAAACTTTTTATGAGCATCTTCACTCCAAGGTCAAATGACGGACTTGTCTCTCTTTTTGCCCCCAGCAGTTACAATGCGTCGTTATTTTCAACTGTTCATTTCCCTCAGTAAATGAAAGGTCTCTCAGGTCAAGACCTTGTCCATCTTACTCAGAACCTGTCTAGCTCGCTCTCTCCTGTATGTAATGGGATGCATGGTACACAGTATGGAATCAGTAAATGTTTCTTGAATGAGCAAATAAATGGATACTTTGTGGAGATTTTGGCTTCTTTTTTATGTATAGGGGAAGAAAAAAATTATACTCTACCCTCTTAGGTTCATTAATTGGGACCTGTGAATCCAACTGAAAAAAAGATAGATTGACAAGAGAAAAGGAATACAAAGTGTATTATTAATTTTTATGTGCATGGATGCCTTCATAAAAATGAAGTAAATAACCGAAAGAAGTGGTTGAACTTGGAGGCTTACATACTGTTTTAACAAAGTGTGATAAATTGTTGAGGAATGACAAGACAAAGGAAAAGGGGTTTGGACTTTGGGGCTGGTAGATTGTGGAAAGGTGAATATATGAGGGAAACTAATGGAAGATAAAGTTACCTGGGAAGGTGTATGCAGACTCATCTCAGCACTTTCTCTGTGTCTGGTTATTAAGTTTGTTCTCTTCCAGGTACAAGAGAGGGGGGTACCTTTATAAGGGAAGTTTATACTTTTAAGCAGATCAGAGGAAGATTCTCACTTGGATTCAGCTCAAAATAATCTTTCTGCTGAAGTGGCATATTTGGGGGTGGGATATTCTCATCCCTTTCATGTGTTTGGTAAAATTTGGTGGTGGTAAAGGAGTCCCATTTCCCACTACCATCCATTCTCTCCTGTTAACAGGGGGTATGGAATAAAGAAATCATCTTCCCAGCTTTTTGCTGGGAGGTATAGCCTGTGAAAAAATAGGCTGGGTTTCTGAGGACTTCTAGAAGCAGATTACTACCTCTGGATTGCCAGCCCTGGGGCTTTTCTGAGGCAGGGAGGTAACCTTTTATCCTGTTCGTGCTACTGTAATTTTGGTGTTTTTGTTACATGTAGCCCCACCTAATCATGTGTTGGTTTAACATTTGCATTTTTGAGGACCAGAGGGAGTGGGATTAAAAAAATCTAAATCTAGCTGGGATGACCATAGAAAATGATGACACTTTCAGGTGTTCAGAATCTTGGGACAGCCTTAGGTGAGGTGCTTTTCTTGGCTGATTTATTTCATACCTGTCTGCTCACAAATGTGGAACCTGTCCTCTCTTCCTGTCTCACCCCTTGAC